AAAAAAAAAGTCAACGCCGGAGACCGGCGTTGACCGCCGGTCAACGCTGGAAACCGGCGAAAAAATCCGGAAGAAAGAAAAAAAAAATAAAATAAAATAAATTAAAAAAGTCAACGCCGGAGACCGGCGTTGACCGCCGGTCAACGCCGGAATCCGGCGGCAAAAAAAAAGTTTTTGAAAAAAAAAATATTTTTTGAAAAAAAAAAAATTTTGGGTCAAAATTTAATAATTTGTGAAATTTGGGGTCAAATTGAGATTAAATTAAGTTAAGGATGAAATTGGAGCATATTAAATTATACTCCAAAAAAAAATCAAAATTGAATTTTTGTGGTCAAAATTGAACTTTTATGGACAAAATTGATTAATTTGGATTACAATTAAGAATTGGGTATAAATGGTTGAGGGTAATATTGGGATATACATGAATGTTTCCTTTAGTTATAATAAATATTAAAGGGATGGGCTTATTGGTAAAAGAGATATGTCCCCTAAACCTAGAATAATAAACATGCTTGGTTGGGGACTTTTGCATAAAAATCCCAAAAAAATAATAATAATTATATTAGAAAAATATTAGAAACGTGCAATAAGAACTATTTGAAGGTATATATATAATTAATTATATATAAAAAAGAAAAAGAAAAAAGAAAAAAAACGTGCTATTAAAAAAATTTCCCATCATACGATAAAAGAGCAAACGGTAAAATTTTTACATGTGCAGAAAAGTATAATAAAATAATAATTATTATTATATAAAAATAAAAACAAACGTGTCTTGAAGAGGAGAAAAGAAAGGAGAAAACAAAGGGATTTGTTTTTAAAGAAAATAATTGTATAAAAAAAAAAAAAAACAAACGTGCACTCGAATAGGAGGAAAAAAAAGGAGAAAACAAAGAGATTTATTTTTGAAGAAAAAACTGTTTTTTTAGGGTTTCGGGTAAAACCTTTCTTTTATATATAAAGATTATTATGCAAAAATATAGAAAAAATTAATTATTCTTCACATATTTTCAATCAGTAAATTGATAAGTCTATTTCATTTACCATATATGCCTTTATAAATAAAAATTATTTTATATATTAATAAAAGTTAAGTAAATAAATACAAATAAAATAAAAAATTACAATAACACTTTTATTCAATTATATATTACTAGTAACCATAACCCGTGCGTTGCACGGGTACCATTATAGAACAAATGATATTTAAAACTTAATATGTTGAATATAATGAAATTAAATAATTGAGAATACATCACACCATAAGAAAATCGTAAAAAGAAATCAGGACATAACCCGAGCAACCATTATAAAAAAAAGTTTTAAACCTTAACATATTAAATATAATGAAATTAAATAATCGAGAATACACCAAACCATAAGAAAATCGTACAAAGATGGATAAATGATACTGAGAACTTGATTAATACAATTAACTATAGTTTTAATGATGGACCAATCAAACCTAAGGCTCTATAGTTTGTCGAAGTACAACAACATATTGTGACTTGCCATTTCTTGCTTCGTTGTTTCTCAATCCTCAAGAGTCAAGATTGATATATGCAGAAGTTGTGACAAAGTGAACAAAACCATGTAGTAGATATGAGAAGAGTCACAAAATACTGAATGGTGTGCTTGTATGAAAACGTAAGTAAACTATCAATAGGGGCTATAAAATGACCAATAGATCGGTATCGGTAAAAACCAAAAAAAAAAAAAATCAAATTTTACAGCTCACAAGTTTACCTATTCAATGTTCTCAGAAAAAGCAGCAACAAAAGTACCAAAATGGTATTTCGATAAGTCAAGTCTTCATAGGAGCATTATAGGCCTTAACAGTCTATCTATCAACTAAAATCACCACACAATTAAACCAAACAATATCAACCCGAAAACCTTCTAGGGCTTCCCGAACTGAGGTAGTGCCTCTTCAAGAACAGGTTACGCCTTTTCCCATGTAACTATGTCTTCAAGATATTTCTCTGGTCTTTGGAAAATAAAATGAGGATATTTTCTTCTTCAATATCAACACAAATCAGGTTTTACATGTACATAAAGTTATGGTTTATATGCACTTAAAAGTTAGAGACCATGATAATGATAGAAACTCTTCAAAAAAAATATACATAATAGACATAATTTGCAATTAAAAATTATTTCCAGATTCCACGTACAACCATTCTATATTTATATCCATGGCTAGATTAAATCACATAAATTGTTGAAGGAATCTCATAAGAATTCCAACTATCGGGATTAAATCTATAGACAAATTCCGGCTGGTGTTCGAGTCCAGACCATGGTCCGAAGAGATATTAGACGAATTCAATTTCATCTTGCTATTGCCATATGATAATTCTTGTCTTAAATTTTCTAATCGATAATTCAAATCCGCCAGCCCCGACTACATAACCTGAACTATCAGATTTTACACGACACATAACGAATTCACAGAGAGAGCAATATCACGCAAATGAAAAAAAAACAAATCTCTAAGATACAAAAATCTTACCCCTAGGGAAAATTGCATTTCATCATCGCGATAACGAAACAATCAAATGTTGATGTAAAATTCTATACGATAAAACCAAATTAAAGTAACATGTTATAAAAATATCTTGAATTTTGAGTTGTCTTCCAATGTTAAAAGAAACTTATTCAACGCGCTAGCCTCAAAATATTTTTAAGCTTATAAACAGAGGAATGATTTTATTGTCGGGTCATCTTCATAGGGTGGGATCCTGTTCATGACGTTTTCTGTCTTCCTCTAATAGCCAATTACGTACTCTTCATCTTTGCTTCCATAATTTATCAAAGTTACTACAAATGACAGAACCTACCAGAGCAAGATTGAAAATTGAATATATTGTCCTTAAATATTCAGTAGATTTAGTGAAAAAAAGGAGAAAAAAAATCCTTATTTCGTCACGCAATTTCAGTCATTGAAATCACTTAATTTTCCAAATTCTCTATCACCAAAATTGCGGGGTCATATAGAAACTTGTGCACATGAACAGTGAACCTCTGTATTTTCAATTATCTCATTTATCGTAATTCTTAATTTATAGAAAATATTTCCCGTCATTTTCGTCTCATATTTTTCACCATGTGTCTACAACAAACAAATGGGTTAAAAGGCGTTGTATGAATTTCTAGCAGAGAACGGATGAAAAAATCTATTCCTAAATCGTTGTATAAGATTCTCATCATCTGATATCCTTGTGACTGTGAAAACCTGTCAACACGCTGATTTCTGTTTTGAATAGAATGTATCAACCAAAAAAATCCATGGTCGCGTGCATTCTCCAAATTTGTGGCGGATATCAATTACCATAATGTCGTTAAGAAATACATTAAATCGAAAATGTTATTTACAATTATCTTTAATTACATTCAACGAAATTACCAACTTCTGAAGACTTGACACCGGAGACTGCATCAATTTGTTTTGGAAAATCCAAATTACCAAAATTTAGTCAAAAATGAAGAAAAAATAATATATGTTGGGAAAAAAAAAGCACATGTAAATAAACAAAAATCGGAAACATTGAATGGTGAACAATAACAACACCAAAAAGATTGATGGAAATTTGATGTCAGACGATTGTAATAATAAATCAAATACAAATATATAATCCTAATTCGGAAATACAATACATAATTGCCCGCCTTACTTCTCAAGAGAGATCCAGCTTGTCTTTGTCCTATCTAAGTTGTTTCCTCTGCATTCGAATTTACTAAGCGAATTTGCAGAAATAAAGTGAGAAATGGTTGGTGAAAACTTACAGTACGGATGTGAAAGGGGATGAGAGAAAGAAAATTGTAACCGTAGATGAAATGCGTTATGTACAGATCAGTTGGAGAAGAATAGATCGTGAGTTCTTTTAACAAACTATCAGGGAGGGGGCCGTAAAGAAAGAAAAACAAAATTAGGGACATAAGGAAGATCGTGTACTGAATTTTATTCGGAGTGGACGATTTTTGTGTTTAACGTTGTTTGAAAGAAAAAAACTGTAAAAATAAAAAAATTGACTAAAATTTTCCTAGTAACCATGCCCAGTGTGTTGCACGGAATACCATTACAAAAGAGAAGAAAATAAGTATTTAAAATTTAATTTGTTGAATACACTGAAATTAAATAATTGAGAACACATGACACCATAAAAGAATTATAAAAAAAAACAATATTGAAAACCTGTTGAATACAATTAATAATAGATTTCATAATTGAACAATCTAACCCAAGACTTCATATGCTGAAGTCCAGCATATCATCATTTGACACCTCTTACTTTCTTGTTTCTCAACATACTTAAGATTGATATTTGGGGAATCCGTGACAAAGTGTACAGAAAGACACTTTAGTTTTGATAAAAATAATAGAAAAAAAAAGTATAAAAATAAATAAGTAATAAAGTAGTATATGGACATAGAAATAAGAGAGTCTCAAGGTACACCCAAGAATTGTTGCTAGTTTCCACCTCCAACGAAGATGAATCATTCACAACCCTAATTTTGAATAAATTACAAAAGAAAATTCAAATATGAACGATTTTCTTAAAACATATATGAATTTATTATATAGTGGATGTGAGAAGTTATTAATTAACGGGAAATTACTGGAAGTGGGGAGTTGTTGTTAATGTGTGTTATTTAGGAAAATTATAGATAATAAATATTATTGAAATAGGTAGTGACGATAATAATTGTAATAAAAATAAATAAATTTAAATTTCAGTAATAACATTTACATTGCTACAAATTTGATAATGCAACATGATTAACTACGCAAAATGCTTAACAAAAATTCTTATATCTCGAATAAGTAGTTAGATCTTGTTGCGGGTCGCATTTTATTGTGCAATTCTTTTCTCGGATGCAGCAAAATCAGTTTCGCGATCACTTCACTCTACAACTGAAATAGACAACTATGTGCAACAAAACTTTGCCACATGAAATGAAGCGTCGGTGAGACATGAAAAAAAAGAGCAAAATGTTAGTTTAAGTTTTACGAAAATCATATGAAGAAGGTAGCTAGGTTTTGGGAAAAACTTGCATACACGATTCACATTTAAAAGAAGAGTAATTGTTTAATCAACCACAAAATATATCTACTACTCTTAATACACGGTTATATGGTAATTTGTTTTTCTTTTCCTTTTATGGGAGGCAAATAATTTTTGTCATGATATGCAAGAATCTTTCATGATTATTTATCAAATAAAATCATTGGATAGTTTTTACAATATTTACTCTTGCGTTTTAAATTTTTTCCCCTTATGCAATTTTTTTTCTCTAAAGTTTTTGATTGAATTTACAACGATGACAATTCAAATTTATATACAAAAGCTGCAACAATCATTAAAAAGAATACTAATTTAATTTTCTAAATTAAAAATAATGAGAACACGTACATTCACATTTGTTGAGCAAACAAAAATTAATTGCATAAGTTCTCAAATCAAAATCTATGTCAACTCTATCAGAATATGATGGATCAACGAACGAAAAAAGAAAAAACAAATCGCAGATTTATGTTGCCTATTCAAAAAACAATAATGGCCTTGGAGCTATGAATATACTCACAAACTTAAAACCTAATAATATAAATAATAGTTCCCATAATTACATGAGCCTAGCATGAATGTTTGTAGATGTACAACATGTTGCCAAGCATTTCGTGTATGATGTGAGATGATAATGGTTTCTTCTCTTCTTTACTGAATTTTTCTAACATGTTGCCAAGCATTTCGTGTATGATGTGAGATGATAATGGTTTCTTCTCTTCTTTACTGAATTTTTCCCGTTTGATGTCTTAAAATTGCTGAGTAACTTTATATACAAATACAACAACAAAGCTTTGTAAGTTATAAAACTTAAATATTATAAATAAATTATAACAAAAAAAGCTTTAATTTGAACTAACAGAAGCACATAATAAATGTCTGACATAATTTTTTTTCCTTCTATCGAATTGCGTGAGTACCTCGTTCCAACCACGAATGATTGTTGATACGAACAGACTTGCTGCAAAAGAAATTTACAATATATCAAATACAAATACAAAAATAAATAAATAAATAAACGGCATAACAAAGTTATTAAATAAACGAAGAAGAAGACGAACAAAATTTTAAATGAGAAAGAAGAAGAAATTTGGCAAAAAAAAAATGATTTTTGGTGGAGTTCTTGTGAGTTTAAATAGAAGAATAAAATTGGTAGGAGTTGAGATCATGGTGTGATAACTTCTACCATGATGAATTAGTGGGGTTTAGTGGGTGGTTAGAGTTGAGAACAAAAATAAATAAAAAATGTATAAATAATTAGAATCATACTTACGGTATATTTAAATATAGGAGTTAGTGTTTAAATTATAAATTTATTAATTAACGGTTAAATTAGACATTTATTAAATTACAAAATTAACCCTAGGTTTAGGTCTAGGTTTTAGTTCAAAATATCTTCGTTTTATATATAAGATATATGTATATGTATAGTCTGGTTTTAGGGTTTCTTGTTATAATACATTGGTGTTATGTGTTGTACTCTTCGAATCTTTGTTTGTACATTGTTATTTTACACAAATAAAATAATAAAATTTTGGTGTACTTTTCTAAATGAATAAATAATAATATTCGATAAGTGATTTTTTTTATCAGAATCGACGAAATCCGGAAATTTCAAAATTTTAATTACCTAAAATATAAAATACATAATAACATTGATAGACTCTTTCAAAAATTAAAGTTGTACCGGAAATTGTGATCTCATATATATTCCAATTCAAAAAAAAAGAAAAATCGAAAATCGGAACGAAAAATGTTGTTAAAAAACAATAGCGGGCGGCCCATTTCCGTTACTGAACGGGCTGAATTTGTATCTATAATTGGTCCAATTAATTCAACAAGAGTTCAAAATAAGGGTAGAAAAGTAATTTCGCGAGTGGCATCATCTTCATTCCGGTGCTTCTTTCTCACCGGGAAAACTGTAGGCCAACTTCCGATGGCGTTTTCCTCTGCGGCGCACCTGCACCCCTTACCATGGACCTCCTTAACGAAGCCACACTATCCTTCGTTCAGTCTTCCTAACTGCACAGGCTCGATATTTTGTAACCGCACGAATCGAATATTCGCTTCTCTGAGCTCTACCGATGTCGACCAAAGCGACGCCGTAACGAAGGATACTTCTTCCCCGCTGCGGGAACTCTGTCAAGGTTACGTGCCCGATCACGTGCTCCAGAGGCAAGGTTCTTCGCCCTTTTTTTTTTTTTTTTTGAATTCGATGGTGAAAACTGTGGAATTTCGGATTAATTGTGGAGTTTGTGTTTAATTAACACCTAATTGGACTCGATTAAGATAATTTACCAGTTAATTGGTGTAAGCAATTTTTTTTACAGTCTATGAGAAAATTATCATTCTGTAATTGCAGGGCGGAGGAGGTTGGGTATAGAGTGCCAACAAATGTGCAGAATGAAGCTCTGCCGGTGTTGTTTTCTGGCCGTGACTGTGTTATTCATGCTCAGGTCAATACAATTGAGTTTTCTTTCGATTTTTGAAATTTGTCGATTTTAGGTTTTCGAAAATGCTTGAAACTATGCCGTATGCCCGGTGTATAAATCCATGTGTTCAACACATAAATTGCATATGTTCTTCATTTCCTCGTTGAATTGATTTATCAAGCTATGTTTAAACCTCGGTGTTTAATGTAATTTGCTGAAGTTACTGCGCTTTTGTTCCTCTTTTGGTTATCTCTAGACAGGTTCTGGAAAGACTCTAGCATACCTACTTTTGATATTCTCGGTTGTTCAAGCACAAAGGTCGGCTGTGCAGGCTCTGATTGTTGTGCCCACCCGAGAACTCGGCATGCAGGTACGATGTTGTCTCCTCCTCTAATTGTAGTATTATGAAACGTGTTTTTGGTGTATATAAAACTGAACTTGTGTCTTGCAACAAGAAAGGTTACGAAAGTTGCACGTTTGTTGGCTGCGAAATCTCCGGACCTTGAACAGAAGTCGTATACAGTGATGGCACTTTTAGATGGTGGTACATTGAGAAGACATAAGAGTTGGTTAAAGGTGAAGTAAAATGTATTTTACATTAAGTGTGTTACTTCCACAAATTAAGATTGCTTTCTTGATTTTTGGTTCCTGATTTTGTTGTCTGAGTCATCTCGAAGCTTAAGATCTATCTTATGTATGTAACCACATTGTATTGACGAATAAGTTTTCAATCTTGTTGTGTGTGTGTGTGTGTGTAGATGTGGATAACTTCTTGTCTTGTTACACTCATAGTTTCTCGTATAGATTATCTTACAGAATCTGTATAAATATTCAAATTGACAGGTGGAACCCCCTGCTATAGTAATTGCTACTTTGAGGAGCCTCTCCCAAATGCTCGACAAGCATATTCTTAAGTTGGATACCATGCGTGTGTTGGTAATTGACGAGGTGACGAAAATGATTCATTGCATCAGTAATTTATGCTGTATATTCAATTCTAATTTACTTTGTTACTAATTTTCGCGCGTTGTGAAACTTGTGATGCCTTATCTTGCATAAACTTTATTGCATGATGCTTAGGTTGATTTTATGTTCAATTCTTCTGAAGAAGTGAGTTCTTTAAAGAAGCTCTTGACTATCCACTCATCAATCAATAACCGTCAAACCATATTTGCCAGTGCATCAATCCCTCAGCATAGACGATTTGTGTACGACTGTATTCAGCAGAAATGGACCAAGGTTTGTGAATTTCAATTAATTGCCGGATTTTTGCATCTTCATCTACGAATTGTGTAATATTTTGTTGCTCCGTTTATTAATACCAGGCTGATGTTGTACATGTCCATGTCAACCCAGTCAACCCTATGCCGTCGTGCCTTTATCACAGATTTGTGGTAAGAAAAATACTCGAATGCATCGTTTTATAATTTGAATAACTTTTAACTTTCTTATATTTGTTCTTTTTTTTTTTACTTTCTTCATTCGAGTTTTACTCTCTCTATCAGATATGTGGTAAAAGAGAGAGGCATTCAACCCTCCTGCATTTATTACAGTCAGATGCGCCTCAATCTGCCATAATTTTCGTTGGAGAGCAAGTAAGTAGTACTATATAATATCCTTATTTGGTTAGGATTAAGCTCATATTAAAAGAAAACGAACAGACTTTATTTATCAAATTCAAAATATTGTGCAGTCTGAGAAGTCGAAGAAAGCTGGAAATTCTCCACCTACGACTCTTTTAATCGAGTTTCTGAAAACTTCACATAAAGGATGCTCCGAGTTGGTTCTATTAGAAGAAGACATGAATTTTAACCAACGTGCTGCATCCTTAACGGTGAAATTACCCTTTTGCCCTCCTCTTCGTGTAATGAAAGAATTTCGAGATTAATTCCTCTGCTGACTAGGATTTGTGGACACAGGATATAAAACAATCAGAAGGTTATCTTCTTGTGGCAACAGATATAGCTGCTAGAGGGGTTGACCTTCCGGAAACAACCCATATTTACAACTTTGACCTTCCGAAAGATGCTGTGAATTATCTTCACCGAGCTGGAAGAACAGGTAGGAAGCCATTCTCAGACAGTAAGTGTTATGTCACCAGCATTATTACAGCAGAAGAGCGATTTGCATTGCAGAGATTCGAAAACGAATTATTCTTTCATTGCCAAGAATTGCTCTTTTAGGTAAGTGTTGTAGAAAAAACATTATTCGAGAATTGGCAAGATATTGTACGAAACAAATCAACAATAGAAAAAAAAAATGTCACTTGTTACAAAATGAAATCTGGGTGGTGAATATATTGGATATTTTGTTATATTACAGTTCCATCTTTAATCGTTGAATTCTTCATTATTACTGTGACGCCTGACCGGATGAGAAATCCTTCCGAGGTTCTATCGGCTTCTTGTACGCGCTGCAAAAAAAAATAAAAAAAAAAAATCAATCGAGTTCTAGATGAAGATTTTTTTTAATTTTTTTTAACATTCGTAATCATTTTTTAAGCTCGTTCTTTTCGAAAGACTTACCTCTGAATTTTCAATGACGACGTTTTTGCCGATTCTAGCATTCTTGTCGATAATGCATTCCCTGCGTTATTTTGTCGGTAATAATTAGAATTGTGATTGGAAATTATATTTTGATAGGTTGAATATAATTTAATTTTTATTTTTATGTACCTGATTTTCGTGTTTTCTCCAATTCCTATTGGAACTTTCCCCTTAGAAATTGCATAGGCAATTTCGGAATCAGTTTCATAGTAGTCAGCCCCAAGCATCACTGTATCCTACAAAGATCAGAAACATTACCCGAAAAATAAAAAATCGACGAATATGTTTCGATTAAGGTGCAATTATTTTATTAATCATTGCATAACTAGAAAATCGAGAGGTGTAGAAAAAAGTGAAAACCTGAAGGACGACGTTGAAGTTTATGCGTGACCGAATACCGACGACGCTGTGCTCGATTAAGGAACTAGTCAAGAAACTACCATGTGATATTATTGAATCAATAATCTGCAAAAAAAAAAAAAACAAAACAAGCATCATGAAAATATTTTTTCATCACTGGAGAAAAAAGAAAAATATAATAATCTCTATATTAAAAAAAAAAAAAAAAGAAATTACCTTGCAGCCATCGATCTTTGATGGTGGTAAGTTTCTTTTAGACGTGTAGATTGGCTTCGCTGCATCGTAAAAGCTGAATCTTGGTGGCTTAGAGAGTGAGAGAGAGAGAGAGAGAGATTAGTTCATGAATGAGGTGATGACATAGGAAAACTGCGTGTACATTGAAATACTTACATGTTCTGTAAGAGCTAAGTTTGCTTCGTAAAATGATCGGATTGTACCGATGTCTTCCCAATAATCGTTAAATAGATAAGCCTGCATAGGTTTTCGTTTTTTGCAGTTTAGATTTTTTTCAAAAATGCTGTCAGAAAAAAAAAAAAAAAATAGGTGACCTTAATATAAAACTCTTTAGCTGAGGCAGGGATAATTTCCGATCCGAAATCATTAGCCGTCGGAAAACGCCATCTGAATTAAAAAAAAAAAAAAAAAAAAAAAAAAAAAAAAGAACTTAAATTTCGTATATTTGACATAAATTTGTGGTATTTACGTCGAAGTGTTTTCTTGATATACCTTAATAGATTCAAAAGTATGTCCTTCTTAAAGACATAAACTCCCATCGAAGCAATGTAAGGCTTCTTCTCTGCCTCGTCTTTCGACAGTCCTAAAACAGTCGTGTCTACTCTCTGAAAACATACATATGTAAGAATTTTATATATTATTATTACACATTATCCGAAAAAAAAACATTCGACTTTTTTGCACTGACTGACTCACCATTGCCTTCAAATCATTTCCTTTCGGTTTTTCGCTGAACGAAAGTACCCTTCCTTTGTTGTCGATCTTCATCAAACCAAAATCTGAGGCACGGCTATCATGTAAACAGATAAAATTACTCGAAAACATTAATATATTATTTTTTGTTTTTTTTCGTAAATTACTCGAAAAAAAAAACCAACTATCAAGAATCGAAGTACGGAGAACTGTCTGATGATGATCATCTACCTGTCGTCTATCGGTAAGGACGATATCGTAATATCCGCACCACTTTGCCGGTGGTTCTGCAGATAAATAAATTCGAAAAAATTATGTAATGTAAAATACTTTTATGTATATATATATATAAATATTTTAATATCTAATTAATTGTAGCTTGCCTGAACAAAATCCATATAGTCCATTCTGTACAAGTGATCCCCTGATAGAATTAGAACATCTTCAATATCTTTGCTTCTTGGACCCTATATTTATATATATTATATATAATGCATCGAAATTAAAAACCTCGATAAATTAATACTCGTTGAAGTAATAACCTCGCTAAAATAATAATTTCTTTCGGTCCGGACTCGGTAAAAAAACGTACTAAATTGTTAGTTCGATAATTTTATATTTCGCTAAATTAATAGAATTTTGTTAGTCCCGACTGTATTAATTTATGGAGGTTTGACTGTATATTCTTTCTATTTTCATCGTGTATATATATAAATATGTTCGTAAAAACTCGAAAAAGGAATATACCTCAAATAGCCAGTGGAATTGCCGTACAGCATCTGCAGTGCCTTGAAACCAATTCTTGCCTGCTTCACCCGGAGTTTGCGTGGCAGCTAAAGCCTGTAATCGGAAAAAAAAGTACTCGGCTAATAAAATCTTCCAAATTTTTTTTTTTAATTTTAATTTTTTTTTTTATTGTAATTATGAAATATTTATTTATACCTCAACAAAGCCATCTCCGAAAGTGGCGGCACCGCCGAAATTGTAGGCTCGAGCAAGATGCCTATTGAGTGATGCCGAGTTGAACTGAGTCAGAATGTAAACTTTGTTGATCCCACTATTTATGCAGTTACTCATCGGCACGTCGATTAGCCTATACGCTCCTCCAATCGGCACCTAAATTATTAAAAAAAATAAAAAAATCGTTTAATTAACTAGCACCGTAAAATCATCAATTAGACGAGTCTCGTTATCGTACGATCACATTTTCTTGAAAACTCGATTTAAAATCCGAAAAACTCACAGCAGGCTTGGCTCGACGTTTCGTGAGCGGGAATAAACGAGTGCCGGCCCCACCGCCTAGGATGATCGCGACAACTGTCTTAGGATCCCTCTTCTCCATCTCCAAGTCCCTCAACTGTTTTATTAACACGTGTGTAAATCATTTCTTACATTAAAAAGAACATGTGTTTTATATGTCATGCATCATTTACTATATAGTCTTCTGTCCTAGATTTTAAGTGTTCTATTCGGGTTTAATTTATTGCATTCAGCACCCCTGTTTTTGCTCTAACTGTTAAAAAAGTCCTCATGATTTTAATATTAACAACCCCCCCCCCCCCCCCCCCATGCAACTTTTGTAGGAGTTTATTGCAATTAGTATCACTGTGGTATATAAACTTGCTAAAAAAAACTGCCCTATGTTGTTTTATTGGCCAAAAAACCCATATGATTTAATCTTTTTAGCGATTAGTACCCTTGTTTAAGGGGCTGTGTGCTAAAAAAATGAATCATATGGGGGTGTTTTGCCAATAAAATAATACGGTGGTTTTTTAGCAATTTGATATAACACAGTGGTACTAATTGCAATCAAAACCTCAACATTTAGGGGTTGTATGCTAAACAAAATTGAATCATATGGGGGTGTTTTGCCAATAAAATAATATGCGGTACTTTTTTTAGCAATTTGGTATAATACAGGGGTCCTAATTGCAATTAAAACCTCAACATTTTAGGGGGCTGTGTGCGAAAAGAATGAATCCTATGGGGAGTGTTTTGCCAATAAAATAATATGGGGGTGGGTTTTTTTTTTAGCAATTTGATATAACACAGGGGTACAAATTGCAATTAAAACCTCAACTTTTAGGGGATGTGTGCTAACAAATTGAATCATATGGGGGTGTTTTGTCAATAAAATAATATGGGGTGGTTTTTTTAGCAATTTGATATAACACAGGGGTACAAATTGCAATTAAAACCTCAACATTTAGGGTGTTGTGTGCTAAAAAATTGAACCATGTGGGTTTGTTTTGCGAATATTAATAACATTGGGGAACGTTTAGCAATTCAATATAAAAAAGGGTACTAAATGAAATTATAATAGTTGTGGCGAAAACTAAAGAAACTCACCTTGGTCTGTTTCGGAGTTTATTGCAATTAGTACCATTGTGTTATATAAAATTGCTGAAAGACTACCCTATGTTATTTTATTGGCCAAAACCCCCATATGATTTAATATTTTTTAGCAATTCGTACCCTACTTTATTTAAGGAGTTGTGTGCTAAAAAATTGAATCATAGGGGGGTGTTTTGCCAATAAAATATTATGGGGTATCTTTTTCGCAATTTGATATAAAGCAGGGGTACTAATTGCAATTAAAACATCTACATTTATGAAGCTGTGTGCTAAAAAATTGAATCATATGGGAGGGGTATTTTGCCAATAAAATAATATAGGGCAGTTTTTTTAGCAATTAGATATAAACACAAGGGGTACTAATCGCAATTAAAACCTCAACATTAACAATGGGGGATCTTTTAGTAATTCAATATAACAATGGGGTACTAAATGCAATTAAAATAGTTGTGGGGAAAACAGAAGAAACTCTCTCACCTTGGTCTCACCTGCCAAATCAGCTGTGAAGGAGTTGCAGATATGAGTGTTAATAGCATTGCCATTGTTTCTTTGCATTGGCGCAAATTTGAGCTTCTTCCCCATTAGCTCCCCATTGCAGAACTTCACCGGCTTGCCGGAATATTTCGCCGGACTTTGCAACTTTCCGGTGGTCGACAGCGCGATGCGGGCGTCGGCGGTGAATGCCATTTCTTTTCTTTTCTTTTTCTCGAGTGTATTGTGTTAGTAGCAATGGTTATAGTTTGAAGGTGGAATTGTTTTCTGCAGAATGTGCTTACGTGGGATGATGCTATTGGTTGGCTGAGCCACGTTATCCAAGTTTAATTACGTCCACCAATTTTTATTTTTCTTTTGTATTCATGTGAACCTTTTTTTTCTTCTTTTTTAAAGAAGAAAAATAATAATGTGCGTTTTTAATTTTGGTTATGGGTTGATTTGTACTAATGGTTAACTTATATTTAGGTTAAATTACGGCCAAATCCTGAGATAAGGTCAAGTTACGAAAAAGTCCCTTATGTTTGGGTAATTACACTTTTACCCTTATGCTGTCTAATTCAACATAATCTTCTAAATTCGGTGTAATGTTCTATTTTGTGCAAAAAAACAGTTTACGATGAAATACAATCTGATATTTATAAGCCTAAGAGACACAACTTATGATCATCTTGCTTCAAAATGTGGAGCTCGAATGGGACAAAATGGGTACAAACTAAAGAATATTACACGTAATCTAGAAGATTCCACTAAATTTGACACCGTAAGAGTGGACGTGAAAGAAGATTCATAGTTGAAGGGAATTGTTGTAATTACTCAAACATGAGGGGTTTTTTCATAATTTGACGGACTTTGGTCCAGAAGGGTGGCCTAATTTATCCTATTTTTAATATTTTAATGAGAATTAGGAATAATACGTGGTTAGTTGAAAAAAATAATCATTATTCAGTTTGTCTTATTTAAAAGTTATATATGACTCCTACTTTTATAAATTACAATTTCTTGGTAGTAGCCTCTTTATTATTATTATAATATCAAGTTAAAGAATATTCTATTGGTTCCTCCCCTGAACCCTTAGATATTTAAAAATGTTAATATCATACAAATTAACCGGGGGTAAAAAGAGAAAAAATAATCATGAAGTTAAATGATACACAAATGAAAATATTTGAAAGACGACGTTACATTGGCTGCGACTTTCGATCCATCAAACTAACGGCGTTTCGTATCCGTTTCTCATCACTTTTGTGGAGTGCTTTTGAGTTTTTCAAATTATAAGTTGCATTTGCTTATCTTTGAAGTTAGAAATCTGTTTGAATGCTTTTTGTCCCAAACTTGTTTAAGTTTATGCAGAAAAAAATTCTGAAACAGGGGTGAAAAAGAGAGTTACAAACTATACCCTGCCTCCATACAATTTCTATAACATATATCCTAAACCTTATTCAATATGATTCTGTCGAGCGATCGAAGTACATAAATAGGAACATACATCTTCACATTTTATTGCAACTTACCGAGATTACTAATTCAAGAACTCTTTATCTTAGGTCTCGTTGTCAACAAAAACCTCCTCAGCGCAATCATTAGTACCCATGTCGTCTTTGCGATTTTCTCCTTTATCATCAAAAGCAGTGCAGAGGTTAAAACGGTCTTCAGCATTTGCGCCTGCAAGCCTTTGAAGAAACCCGATATCCCTTCGTTTTCCCAGACGGAAGATACTGTTCCAGATACTGTTCTACGCGATGGTGGTCGAGTTTTGCCCTCGTCGTTTTCATCCGACTTTGCAGATTGTATCATCACCTTACACCTGTCCATTTTTTTTCCAGATCGTTAGCTATTATGGCAATCTTTCAAAAGAAGTAAACATCGAAACAAAATTAAGTTTTTTCTACCTTATAGCTGGATAGGTTAAACAGGTGGCAATGCATTTCGAGACTGCACCCAACACGAAAGCAGAAAATGCAGAGAGAGCTTCTCTAGCTGATGCATCGTCTGTTTCTTTCCTTATGTTCCCCTTTAGCATTCTCAGTTTTAACTGATCAAATACGGTGTACTGCACGCAAGCCGATACAGTTACAGTTAGAATTTGTCTCGATTTCTAAGAGCATCTGTGCGTATTGGAAAAGGACCAATCGTAGGTCGAGAAATCATAAAAAAACCTGTATAGAAGGATTTGTAGTGAGAAGAAGGGAAATTCCTAGACCATCAAATGCGTCACTCCAACTCCCTTCCGAGAGAGATTCCCATAGTCCTTTCGATTTTCCGAAATCACTTGTTTGCATTCTCGAAGCTGCTGTATCAAGAGGCTGTCGAACTAAAATTAGGAAATATATGGTGATAGATAGATAGATAGATACATAGGCTACAGAATGCAGATAGATTTCCTTTACATACGAAAAAAAAATATTAATCCTCGAGTAAGTAGGACCGCATAAAGACATAGCAAAAGCTATACACTTTACGGGGAATTAGCAATATCATACATAGCATGAGATTTTACGAACTCGATCACGTTGTTATCCAATGAATAACTGAACACTGTGATTTACCTGTGTTACTATGGCTGTGCATGCACCAGCAGCAGCGGCAATAAGCAAGTTGGCTGCAGTTCCGATAGATTTGGATCTACTTTCTCTTAAGTAGAGTCTCTTAAAGAAGCTGTATCCGTAAAAATAGATGAACTGTGAAATGAAAGACTGCAAGTTCTTCGTCCCCAAACCCTGGTACAGTGATAGAACTTGACCTTTGGAAATTGCTTCCCAGAATACATCTGAAATGTTCCTGTTTCAAATAAGAGAAATCCATTCAGACGGCACTCGTCTTGGTTAGGGATATCGATCGAATACGGTTAGAGATCCAAATAGGAACGCAAATGTTCATGCATCAAGGCATTTTGAATACAGTAGAATTTATGAAATTAGATTGATGAAATGAATAAATCAATTCATTACAGTATAATAAGATAAGAATGCTGAAATGGACTTTTTACACACACACACACACACACACACACACACACACACACACACACACACACACAAATTGGAGTTTCAACAGCATAATTCAGAAAAGCTCAACACACACACACACACATAAATTGGAGCTTCAACAGCATAATTCAGAAAAGCTCAATACACACACACACACAAACACACACACACAAATTGGAGCAGGAGAACACCTGTATTTTTGGTGATGGTGAGCTCGATTTTCAGCTTGGTACTTGGTTTTGCAAGTGTCGAGCGGGTACAAAACGGTGGTGCTGACGAGTGCACCCACAGCACCGGACGTCGCCTCCACTAACGACTCCATATCCAACTCCATCGAAGAAATTCAACCTTTTTTTAACACAATAAATAAATTAAATCATCTGAGAGTACCAGAAATTGACACGGCGACGAATTCCCCAATTCAGATCACAGAATCCGCCGATCAAGCAAAATGAATCGACGATAAAATCGAGAAAAAAAAAAAGGAAGAAGAATGAAACCTTGATTCTTCGTAAACAGGAGTCGACGGCGGCGAGTGGTAGATTCTCCGGCGTTGAGGAGAGCGATAGGTGGTTTTCCTGATCGGTGGCGAAAGTGAGCAGTCAATTAATCGTATTGGGAATTGGAAATGTGAAAGTATGGGCTTTTGCTCTCTGCTCCCGGTCCCGCTATATTTATATTTATTTATATTAAATAAGTAAGGTTGATTTATTTTATTATTATTCTAATTCAAATACGAAAAGTTTCCGGTATATAGTGAGATTTATTATAATTGTGATAAATTTATATACTAATATGTTGGTATTTTAAATTTTAAATAATAAAAATCCATTGAAAAATTAAGAATGTTGTAAATAATAATATTTGTTTTTTTATACATAATAATTTTCGAATAAATTGTATCATGATTAACATATCTAATTAATCCATCTTGAATTCTGTATCGGATCCAACTGAATAAAGTCCAAATCAATTAATTCAAATTGGCCCAAACTCGTAAGCCCAAAAAATCTGTATTGGGCGTTAATACATTTGCACATTTTTTTTTTTTATATTTCTAAATAAATTATGATAAATTACGGCCATCATGAGATAAGGTTAAATTACGAAAAACTCTCTCTTGTTTAGATAATTATAATCCCCCCTTTGCAATGAATCTTCTCACACGTCCACTTTTATAGTATCAAATTCAAAGTGAATATTCTAGATTCCGTGAAATATTCTCTAGTGTGTACTCGTTTGACAAAAAAAGCACTTTAAGATGCACTACAATCTCATATTTACAAGTTAAGAGACACACCTTATTTCAAAATGTGGAGCTCGAACGAGGTAAAACGGGTACAAATTGGAGAATATTCCACATAATCTAGAAGATTCCACTAAATTTGACATCGCAAGGATGGACGTGTAAGAAGATTCAGAGTTGAGAGGGTGGTTGTAATTACCCAAACGGAGAGGTTTTTCTGTAATTTGGGTGGCCGTAATTTATCCATAAATTAATAGAGATTTGAAAAATGTTGGGGAGGAGGTATAACCCCCTCTATCTCTATACTGGCTCCGGGAAATACTGGCGTCGTTTCACATCTCACCCTTAATTATCAAATAGTATTGAATAAGTAGTCGAACTTTAAATTAGGCTACCAAAAACATAAAAATGACATTGATTAGTAATATCCAGACATGCATCATTGTAACATTTAATCATTTATTGAATGTAGAAACAGCCATATATCTAAGTTTTCATGAAAAAAATTAAGAGTTGAGGCTAATCTCCGGATTCAAACTATATATATAGAAACAAAAATTGAATTACTATAGTCTAATAATAATAGTAATTTAAATTGATACCTCAAAAAATCATTGGAATTGCAATGACCTGTCATTCTTGACCTATCTCCCCCTAAATTCGACGGTGGCGCCACGGCTCTGCTCCGCTCGTGCTTAGCGGTGACTCTCTTCTTGCCGGTGACTGCCATTTTCAATCTGGAAATTAAACAGAAAAAATAAAAATAAAAAAGAAATAGAGAAGAAAGAAAGAAGAAAAGGAACAACAAAGTGTGGTAGCTACATGAGAGATGCATGGAATTGGAGGACCCCTTTTCCTATTACATTATCCAAATTTAATCTTGTCCACTAATTTTGGGTATCTTTTATTTTGAAAATTTTGGCAAAATAAAATAAATAATTAGTCTAGCATTATTTGACTTATGCTTTATTTCATGATACATAGATAATTAAATATGCGTACGCGTATATCTTATAATATAAGAGTGGGATAGACGATTATTAAACAATTAAGTGAAGAGTAAGTACTCGAAATGAGAAAGTGAAAGAAGTGCATACTTCTTGTAATAATACCGGGAACGGACGAACGATAACAAAAGTCACATTAAATATTAAGATGTGTAGCATGAAATAAACCATCGTCATGTGCAAATAGTGTAAAATTGTGCGTTGTTTAACTACGAAAAAATGTAAGGGTATTTTAGTCAAAAATGACGCGAGAGAGATTTCAATCGGGTACAAATGAAAATGGGCCTTATTTCAAAGAAAAATAGTGTTAATAGGAAATTGTAAAGAATAAAATAAGAGAATCTTATGATTAATTACATAATTAGCCTTAAGGAGTTTGGGTTTGGCAAACGAAAATAACTCGCAAAATGTAATTTATAAATTATAAATTACGGAAATTACACGTTGACAAATGCTGCTACTGTCACAACGGCTCATTTCTCAAATACTTTCAAAATTCTTTGGGTCAGAACGTAGATATGTAATAGTATAGGGGCACAAATTGCAATAGTGTTAAAATTTGTTCTTCCATTATTTTGTTTTCAAACTTTTCTTCTTCCCTCTCCTCTTCTCTTCTCCGTTCTCTCTCTTCTTTCTCTCTCTACACACACTCTTCACTGAAATGAACAAAGCCATAAAGAAGCTTTGAATATTTTCTCTCTCTCTACAGTAATTTCCCAAATTTCTCCCTGATTTCAGTCCGGCGATGCAGGACTTCATAGGGTCTGTTCGCCGATCCCTAGTTTTCAAACCGTCCGGCGAAGATTCGCCCAGATTTGGGGGATTTGTGGAAAAGGTCGGTTCGAGCATCCGAAAATCGCGAATAGGGCTCTTCGCTAAGCCTCCGATTCGTGCGCTGCCACCAATTGCGACGCCTCCGCGAAATACTGGAAGGGGAATCCCGCCGGCGGAGGAGGATCTACTGCCGCCGATGGAAGAAGCCATGGGTGATGAGCTGCCAGTAATTAGGGATAGAAATGAAGTGGCGCCGACACCAAAGGTTCTGAAAGTGGAGGAATCGAAGAAGAAGGAAGTCGCCTTGTCGCCTCCGATCCGGTGGAGGAAGGGGGAATTGATTGGTTGCGGCGCGTTCGGGAGGGTTCACATGGGGATGAACCTAGATTCGGGGGAGTTGCTTGCTGTGAAAGAGGTCGACTTTCGTTCATTTCGTCGCATTTTTTTCAAATTTACAATGAAGATGTTATTTGCTGATTCGGTTCTTTTCTACTTGGCAGGTTGCAATTACATCGAATAATGCTTCAAAGAAAACACAAGTAATGTCAATTTTTTGAGCTGATCTTTATGTACTTCATGCGCGTGCTGGTTGTGTGCAATCCGAACTGATTTTAAATGGATGTTGCACTATTCTAAATATATTTGTAGCATTGATCATCTGATCATATTATTCTGCTTTTCCAGTTTAGAAAATCTAACTTACAACTTGTGCTTATTTATCTATTGTCTCAATTAGAAGATTGAATTTGATGGAGCATTTTCGGTGATGACTTTTTCAGGAATACATATGGGAGCTTGAAAAAGAAGTGAATCTATTGAAAAATCTCTCACATCCAAACATTGTGGTGAGAGAAGATAAATTTCAACTGTAATCAATCATCAACTGATCGTTCACTCCTGATTTTGAGCACATTTTATTTTGTTCTGCAGAGATACCTAGGAACTGCTCGGGAGGAGGATTCACTGAACATTTTATTGGAATTTGTGCCAGGTGGATCTATTTCATCACTCTTGGGGAAATTTGGGTCTTTCCCAGAATCTGTAAGTGATTACCTCCCATTTATTTAGAAAATTTCCGAGAATATTTTAGATATTTTTCGTCTTTCTTAAATGTCTACATCAGTCTTAGAAATTAATCATGTGAAAGCTAAATGCTGAGTCGTTTCTAATAATTACATCCGAGACCAGGTTTTCTTTGCTATATGGAATCGGCTTGCAGTTTTTGCTTAAATATATTATAATTTGTTGAGGCTTTCAAAGGCCACCTCTAGCAAGTGGGCTCTGGAAATGTAATAAGAAATGGTAGAACTTCATAATAATGTCCAGAGTTTTCTAATTTTACTCTGAATTTGCACTCCAGGTTATTCGAATGTACACGAAGCAATTGCTGTTAGGACTAGAATACCTGCACAAGAATAAAATTATGCACAGGGACATCAAGGTATTTCTCGACAAGATATATACTTCTTTATACGTCTCTATGTGTGTTTTAAAGAGGTTTACATGCTCAATTCCTAAGTCTGGTTATTTGGATTCTCACCAGGGAGCAAATATTCTTGTAGACAACAAGGGTTGTATTAAACTTGCTGACTTTGGAGCATCCAAGAAAGTTGAAGCATTGGTATGTATCTATCTCTATTTTTCTATAGCATTTCCTTGGTCATACTAGTGGAAACTGTTTCGTAATCAGGGATACGATGTTTCTGCAGGCGACGATAACTGGTGCCAAATCAATGAAGGGTACTCCATATTGGATGGCTCCTGAAGTTATTGTTCAGAGTGGTCACAGCTAGTGAGTACAAAAAGATAGCTCTGTTCTTGTAGTTGGTGAAGTTAGCATTTCCTGCGTTTAGATGCTGCACATACTTTTTAATAGCGTATACATCAAAATCAATATCTGCATATTTTGTACTGAATTAGTTCTACCACTAGAGTTCCTCCATGTTACCAAAAGTGGCATCTTGTTACCTAATTTTTCCTATTACTCGCCGGATAATGCATCAAAACCTGTGCTTGTCTGAACAAAAAAGATGTATCACTACACATGGTATAAATGTGTCACTTGTTCAAAGAGCACTTTTCCTAATCAAGAAGCATCTTTTATTTTTCCTGGAGATTGTCTGTACTTTTACCACAATGAATGCAACAAATGTTTATTCTTTTCTGGTTACAAATGTACAGCTCGGCGGATATATGGAGTGTTGGATGCACAGTTATTGAAATGGCGACAGGAAAAGCTCCTTGGAGCCAGCAATATCAGGAGGTATGCAATTTACTTTCTAATAGAATTTATCAAATTTACAGTGATTACTTTCCCATATTATTTTAAGTAAATATGGTATCTAACAGTTCGCATCATTCTAGGTTGCTGCTCTCTTTTATGTAGGAACAACCAAGTCTCATCCACCAATACCAGATCATCTTTCTGCTGAGGCAAAGGACTTTCTATTAAAATGTTTACAAAAGTATGTTTCATTCAGTTGAATTTAGAGTTTCCTTCGCTTCCATTTTACTTAAATGAAATTGGTCTTTCGCTCTAAGAAAAATTGAACTGATCAAGATTCGTTCATTTGTTCTGTTCCCCTCTTGAATATTCATATCGACTTGGTGAACTTTTGTAGGGAGGCAGACCTGAGATCTACTGCATCAGAGTTGTTAAAGGTAGTACCAAACATTGGATACATGAAGCATTTCAAGCTGTGATACTACATTTTTGTCATTTTCTTAAATCCATGGTTAAATTAATGAATGGTGCCCCTTCTTATGGTAGTTTCTTTTGCTTGTTGATTTCAGCATCCATTTGTAACTGGAGAAAATCGGGAATCACATCTTGTTCGTCGCTCTTCACTTATGGTTAGCAAATGTTTGTTGTATATACATATATTATATTATATTTTAGCTTTGTAAGTACACCTTCATTAATAAGTTGAATATTTATGTCCACAGCAGAGTTCCGGAAAACATATGGATAGACTTGGGATTGAAATTAAGAAGTCGTAAGTACTCATGGGAAATTCATTTGAATTATGTTCTTATAGACTGTCTTGAATTAGTTGTCACTCGAGATGTTTAATGTTTGAGGATTTATTCATGCTGCAGGATGAACTTAGATGCAAGGAATTCCTGCAATGGTCTGAAGGACGTTGGTCAGTTGGGTGGTGCCAGTTGCTCGACCTTTCATCCAGAGCCGTTATCAGCACAAGGATCTCTATGGGAACCTGTCAACTTCGATGATGATATGTGTCGAATCGATGACAGCGTTGATCTTGTACTTGGTGCACCAACCAAATTCACACCTACCCTACTTTCTAGTGATTGTAATCAGGTTTAAGGACTAGACTTGTATATTTTCATTAGATATCAAAATTCAGCCACAGAATACTATAGTCCTAATTAGAGTTATCCCTGGTTTTCTTTGTGCAGAGTTTTAATCCTATGTGTGAGCCGAATGAGGATTGGCCATGCAAGTTTGATGAAAGTCCCGAGTTGACTAAAAGTAGAATGGAGTCTCGTCCCAGTCAACTCGTTGAGCCAGGAAACAGAACTTTAGGTTCTGTTGAGGTGAGTTGTGGCTTCTCATTTCCAAGAGGAGATTCGGTACAGGATGATGACGACGAAGTAACTGAATCGAAGATTAGAGCGTTCCTGGTTGAAAAGGTACACTCAGGAGAAACTTCCTATATATTTGGTCTAAACTTTTCCAAGAAAACACAAGACATGCAGATGTACCGATTAAAAGATTATTTAGATTATCCAAAGATTTTACCTTTTCCGAATTTCCTGCCTCTTTCTCTAGAACTTTACGTTGACCAAGATAACTACACAAATTCTATTCTCATTTCTGTGTGTAAAGAACAGAGCCTTATTCGATCTTGCTGTGCTACTATCTGTGTAGGCTTTGGACCTGAAGAAGCTGCAAACACCTCTTTATGAGTTCTACAATTCTTTGAATGTTGCTGCTCCTCCGAGTCCTGTTGGTGTTGGCAACAAGGAAAATGTTTCAAGTAATTGCAACTTACCTCCCAAAAGTAGGTCACCAAATAAGGTGTACAGTCGAAGATTTTCTACCGCCATTGATGTTGAATACAGCTCAAGTCCTGGGAGTTGTTCCCGACGCGCATCAAATATTAGTGATGTAAATTTCCGAGCTTCGCAAGATGTTAAAAATCTGCCTCCCGATTATCAACAGGAGCCACTTACTCCAAGGTATGCAAATATCAGCCTGCATTTCATTATAATATAATCAAAATTTTGTTTTTTCCTAAAACAATGTCTTACTGTATAGCTCTAGGTTCTCTGAGATACAAAGGAAATGGAAGGAAGAACTCGATGAAGAGCTTGAAAGAACGAGAGGCAAGTTGTGTTTAATCCCACATATTAATTACAATAGCAATTTTACCTGTCCGTGTAAGGGGTGATAAGTTTGTCTTTACCTTTTTGCCTGTGTTTTGCAAGCAATATTGTCTTCTTGATTTTTTTTTGATCGCTCTATTTAGTTCATTTTCCGAAATTTGACTACCGGGAAAAAAAAAATGCATATTGCAGAGATAATGCGTCAAGCAGGTACATCGAAAACATCATCTCCGAAAGATCGACTTTTGAATCGACAAAGAGATCGATATAGGTTTGCATCTCCCGGGAAATAAATGTAAGTTTTCAAATGGTCAAAATATTTTCGTTTGCTATTTAGCGTAATTTTATCTCCTTAATCAAGCTCATGAATCTCGACATGCAGTTAATGAGACGATCGATCACTTGGGAAGGTTATCTTCCAGAAGATTGGAATTCCCATTGGCAATTTATTTGCCTCTGAGTAGAAGTATGAAGAGCTTGTGCTACATAATTATAGCGGCCATTTGTATTCAGTCAATGTGGTTCGACCCGAATTATATTTTTTTATTATATAATTATATATAAAGAAGGAAAAAAAAACATGTCCTATTAAGTTGTGATCTCTCCTTTTGAGTGTATATTTGGTTTCAGAAAAAAAAATACAAATGAAGATTTGAGGGTTTTATTGCACGTGTAATATTTACGTCGTTTTTCGACGGAATGAATGCAATGTATACTTTTTTTAAAACCCTGTTCACTATATATATATGATTTGAGTTTGGCTTTAATTGGTGCTAATATGGTGATTGATTTAAGCTTCTGTTTGAATGGCTTTATTTTATTGCACCGAAAAGTGGGTCGGTGTAAGACGGGAAACAAACGTCAAGGGTGTTTTTCGTAATTTAGCCTAAGTTTAGGGAAATTTTTGTAATTTACTCGTAATATTTAGATCGAAAACAAGGATATATAAAATGTCCGTTTTCCCATTTTCGTAATTCCCATTGATATGATCAAATGTTGTGGTGAAGTACAATAAAATTAATAAGATATAATGATCTCGACATTTTAGAAGAAATAATTTATCATTCATGACATGTTCTTGAAAATTTATTTGGAAATGGTACTGATGAAGCCCAAATTGTCCTAACAATATAATTAATAAACAAAGTGGGCTTTGGGGAACAAAACAAAGCCCATTATGAGGGAAATCTCAATCGAGAAAGAGCCCAACTGCCCCAAGAGACCTATAAAGGAGTGACGGGGAAGGTTTTGTCGACGTTAGCACTCCAACGGTCAAGTCAGTCGAAAAAAGTGGGAAACGGTATATCTCTTAGAGAAGTAAATAATAATGTATTGAATGTAGCATATGAAAGAGAAGGAATCCCAATTTTTCTCAACGGTCGTATTTATACATGTCGTGAGGATGGGTCTGGTGGGATCCTGTCTTATCAAGCCACGATGCACGTGCATGGTGAGATGACTTGATGCGAGCTCATTTTACCTACTGAAAGAGATCTGCTTCCCCTCTTTGCGATCTGAGTTGCTCTAATTTCTCTGAACAAGCTCGTTGTTGGTTGGTGTGCCTCTTTGCGATGCACGTCACCGTGCAGGCTTTCCGCCATTGTTTCTGACATCGAGCCGGATATTATAGTCGCTTCTGCCGTTTACACATATCCTATATTGGGCTATTTGGTAGGGCTTTAATAGTGGTAATGGTCGAAGCGATTTTGTGTCTGGGACCGCCTTTTAATTCAAGATGGATCTTAGAACAATTGGGCCCGTATCAAATACGAATTAGAACACAATCTTCTTTTTTTCTAATCGAAGAAGATTCAATTGCTGAAAAATCGAACCAAAACATCATAATCCATGATTCATTTAGGATTCCATTATATTCACTGCTAAATATTCGTCGGTGCAATTATAAATAATTCTTTTTTTTAAATTTAAAAATAATAAAAATAATTAATAATGATGATGTAGGTATTAGCATGAACATGGTGCCGGTGAACAATATTCAGACAACCACTCACCTCTCTGATTAAATTACCAATTTACCACTACATGTTACCCAACAAATGTACATGATTTAACACCTTCCATATTTCCAGAATTTTCTGATGGCTAATTTGCTATTGGTCTTCAATAAATTGTTTTAGTTGGTTGGTGAAAGTCAAAGGGAATATGCTTGTTTGTTAGAATTAATCATAAGTTCTTTGAATATGGATCATCAAAAAGGAAATTTTTTTTCATGGTCTTGTAATTTGGCTGGATATCACTTTACTCTCTTGTACTCTCAATTGTATTGATTTGCCATCTTGCACTTTTGTTCGATATTATTTTACCCCCTTCTACTCTCAATTCATCGATTTGACCCCTTGTACTTTGGCTTGATATCACTTCACCCCCTTCTACTCTCAATTGCATCGATTTGCCTCCATGTACTTGAAAAATTGTCTCAATATGGCAATCGTCGTTAGTTTTCAACATTTGACCTTAATACTGTTTGATTTAAATCTGAAAATTACTTAAATGTCATCCCTCCAGTTTAAATAATTATTAAAAAAAATAAAATAATAATAAAAAAATAAATTCAAGACAACGAGAAAACATAGTCCGCGACACCAGCCACAATTTTTTTATTATTATTAATTATTTATACTGGGAGGGTGGCTTTTTTGTAATTTTCAAACTTAGATCAAACGGTGTTAAGGTTAAATGTCTGAAAACTCACGGCGAGGGCCACATTGAGACAATTTTTCAAGTATAGGGGGAAAATTAGGTGGTATTCGTGTGTGTGTGTATATATATATATATAATATATATATATATATATATATATATAGAGAGAGAGAGAGAGAGAAGCAAATCTTGTAGTTTCTCTCTCAAATCCAAGATATAGTGATCAATCCCTTTCTCATAGAATTATCAAAAAGGTTGCCTTAGAGAACAAGTGATGCATGTCTTTCTTACCAAATAACCAAACAATTGACTCAATTGGATAACCATTACCAAATTTTCTCTCTCTCTCTCTCTCTCTATATATATATATATATATATATATATATATATATATATATATATATATATATATATATATATATATATATATATATATATATATATATATATATATATATATATATATATATATATATATATATATATATATATATATATATATATATATATATATATATATATATATATATATATATTGATGCATGCAAAAATCTGGAAAGTGGGCTCTGCAGACCACTCATTGATTTGTTTAGAGATTTTCTGTTTAACAAATAACTAGTAATTGTACCCGTGCGATGCACGGGACAACAAATTGCATTGTTTTGATGTTGTAAGAATATAAACAAACGTTTGATGTATCGTATGATCAAAATTCTATTATACTGGAACATCATCAAATGAATTTTACTGTTGAAGCTACTACACACAAAAAAAGGAAATAACTTTACTGTTGAATAATTTTCCAAATGAATTGAATCAGCTAATACCAGTAGATTGAAAATTTGAACCAGGAAAAAAATCATCAACTATGTCTTTCATGTTGAGCTTAAAAGTAATTAGATTTAATAACTTAGTTAACATAATCAAAACTAAACTATCGACAACATAAAAGGCCATCTATACATCTTGCATCGGAACTAAGCCCTTCTCCACTGCCTCATTTTCAGGCTGTTTTGCCGCTGGAATTAACAATTGGAAAATTAAGAAACAAAAATAAATATAAACAATAAATTAAATATCGCATACAAACAATGAGTCTTGAAGGTCGACTTCCAATAGCTTGTGGCTCCGCCCATTTTTGGTTAATTCTCTCAAATCATCCATTTCAATAACATGTCCAATAACATATAAAATGAAATAATTGTTATACATAAAATTTGAAAACTTTGGTATAAATTAATGAAACACATAATTTAACAAAATGAAATTATCTATAAGCCATGATGGAAAAAGATGTAAACTAATTGTCACACAGTCAATAGGATGAAGAAGATAAAAAAAAAATCTAAAGTCGGGTTACCAAAAGAAGAAGCCTTAGGTAGGGAAGAAATAAAATTCAAATGTTGCAGACATTATGTAAAACGATGTCACAAAATTCGCTAGGGATGAAAATCAGATTTATTTACCCTTTTCTGTAAAAATCGAAAATCAGATTATTATAAATAATATCTAGGAGAATTTGATGAAAATCGATAATAATATTTAAAATAATATTTAGGAGATAAAAATTTGATAAAAAAATCAAAAAATAATATTTAGGAGATAAAACTCTGATAAAAATCGAAAATAAAATTTAAAATAATAGTTAGAAGATAAAAATTGCATAAAAATCGAAAATAATATTTCAAATAATGTTAATGAGATAAAAGTTGATAAAATACGAAAATAATAATTAGAATAATATTTAGGAGATAAAATATGATTAAAATCAAAATTATTATTTAAAATAATATTTAGGAGATAAAAATTTGATACAAATCGAAAATAATATTTAGGAGACAATAATCTGATAAAAAACAAAATTAATATTTAGGAGATAAAAAACTAATAAAAACATGATAAAACTCGAAAAAAATATTTAAAAATATTATTTAGGAGATATAACTTTGATATAATTCTAAAATAATATTTAGGAGATAAAAATCTGCTAAACTTTGAAAATTATATTTAAAATTATAGTTAGGAGATATAAAATTGATAAAATTAAAAAAATAATATTTATAATAATATTTAGGAGATAAAAATTTGATAAAAATAAAAAATAATATTTAGGAGACAAAAATCTGATAAAAATAAAAAATAATATTTAAAATAATATTTAGGGGATACAAATATGATAAAATTCGAATATAATATTTAAAATAATATTAAGGAGATAAAAATTTGATAAAATTGAAAAACAATTACAAATATGACATTAGGGTTTCTTAGGGTTGCCCTAGCGTTTCTTTCTTTTATATATAAGATATATCCTTGAAATTAAGTAAATTTTGGCAAGGATTTAAATTTGTGGGTTCAGACAATTTTCTGAAAGAATTATACGCAATAAAGTACAATCTTTCTTGTTTGTCTGCCTGTGGATCATGTCTCAAAATGCTTGTCCAACTCATTTTTATAAGATCCTATATAATATAGGATCTTATAAAAGCTCACATAAATCAAATTTTATTGGAAGTCAAAAATTAATATGAAGAAATCCACTGAAAGTATAGTAGAACATCGATAAATTAATAACCTCGATTAAATAATAGTTTTTCTTGGTCCTGACTAGGTGAAAATATGTTAAATTATTAACTCGATAATTTAATAATTCACTAAATTAATAGAATTTCTCTAGTCCCGCCTGTATTAATTTATAGATATTTAACTGTAATGTGAATTTTATTGGAACCACTTGGATCAAAATTCAAATTGCTGTCGTAATTAATAATAATTATTATTAATGTTTAACTATTTAACGAATTGAAAGACTGCTTAATTAGAGGTGACAATGTTTTGGATTTATGCAAAATATTATAATTTAAATTGAATCTGCCTTTTGAATGTTGAAGATTCAAAGCCTTAATGCTTAAGGAGATGATTGTGATGGAAGACAACAATTTAATGTGTGATGGCAGAATTGCACTACCTAGTGATACCCCCCACCCCCTCCTTTATTTTTCTCTTTTTATGAATATATTTATAAAAAATAATATAAATATTAAAAATGACGCTCACCCAATACTGACTCCGTCACTGGCTATTATGCTGTAGATCATTTTTTTTTATTTTTTTGTTGGCTACTATTATTCTGTTGATCGTCGCTATAATAGTTTTGGTATCAAAGATGCGAATATTCTATACGAAATCGAAAATTCTGATATCGAGAAAATATTCTTCTAAAATTGTCCTTTTACGAAGAAAAAAATTTAAAAATTGTCCTTTTACGAAGAAAGTTCCAACATTAATATAATTATTTAAATTGAACTAGGTTTGTTGTGAGAAATATCTAGGACATTATGTGATGTAATAAAACTATATAGTAAAATGAAATGAAATGAAATAAAATGAGATGCCTATCCAAACAAATGAATGGATATTCTAAGCCCACGATCATCTTCTCCCTTCCTCTTATAATATGTCTTTGTGAACAACTCATTTATTTATATATATAAATTCATCATTCAATTTCAATCATATTGTATATGCCCTTCTTTCTAGGTATGGGACAATATAATTATATTAATTAAATGAAGAAAATGAACAACGACCCAAATTAAGGTAAATACAATACATGCATAAGTTCGAGTGCCCATTAATTTATGTGGATATATATATTATCCCGTTGTCCTTTAACAGAGTCAGAATTTTAAGATTGGGGGAGCCGAATGCATTAAAATGATTCTGAAAAGATCGTTATATACTATTTTTCTTCTTCTTTGTTATACATTAAACAATAGAGATTTGAGAAACGTTGGGGGGCCATGGCCCCCTCCCTATATGGTTGATTATTCGGTGTTGTTGTCCAACTTGATAATCTATCTAACGAGCAACGTCTTATAATTAATTAACGCGTCTCGTACATTAATTGGGACATCTTATCTTCTCCGTACAACGCTCAACCTTCAACCTTTTCAATGTAGGGAACACCTCTCTCTCTCTCTCTCTCTCTCTCTCTCTCTCTCTCTCTCTCTCTCTCTCTCTCTCTCTCTCTCTCTCACTAAATGTATATATATCGCATTCATATATAGCTGCAAAATATATATATATATCTTTACTTAGATTTTGTTTGTGCAGAAAGTATAAGGGTTACATGATTGTGTGCATGTGGGTGCACCGTGCATGCATGGTTTTCTTTCTTCTTTTTTTAGGGTTTCAAGAAGTGGGCTACATTTTTGTAGTAAAAACACGTGATTATATTCTGTACAGACAGTGATTTATTTGGTCCCATATTCGTCTACGAATACGATCTATCATGCAAAATTAATTTTACTTGGAAATTAATTTATTATAATATTGCAAGATTTATCCCTTTCATTTTATGGTCCAACGTACTTTAGCATGATTCATTTTCCATGTTAATTAATTGCTTAATTAAATCAATGTTTAATTGTTGTCTTGTCACAGTTTAATGATTTAACATGTCGTGATTGAGCTACTTGAGGACCAGATTAAACCATATAAATTAAGGGTTAAATACACTTTGCATCCCTGATGTATAGTCTACGTAACACTTACCCCTCAACATCAATTATTTTATATTGTAAAATTTAATACTAATAAACATAACAATCTAATAATTATTGGATTATAAAAAAAAGAGAAGTAACTAAAAATTAAAATATTGCAAGAAAAAAAGTAATATATGTTGTATACTAATGAATGGAAATATAAAATATGAAATTAATGAACTAAAATATATTCGAATACTTAAGATTACTATTATTAGTTATGTCTTGATTTCTTAAAATTTATTGATATGAATATTGAATATACTTGATTAGTAGTCCCGATAACAGTTAGATGTTATTTATTAAATATGTACCCAACATAAGATAATATTTTAAATTTTTAAATATTACAATTTTCAATATACATTTTTATTTGTATAATTTAATTATTCTCTTAGTTATTTCTTTAAATATATTTTTTAAACGTATTAAGATTTAAAATACAAATTAAATTGAGGTTGAGGGGGGTAAGTGTTACAAATGATACTTTAGAGTGGTGAGTGTTACATGGATATACATTAGGGGTGTAAAATGTATTTAACACTAAAATGAAACCAGATGAAGTGTACATTAATTAAATATAGTGTACGAAAAGATTATGGAAACCCCCCTGAATTTAAAGTAAATTATACAAAGAACCCTTCACTTACTCGATCACTGCACGCGAACCGGTGATAGTCGAGAGGTATGTTACCACGTGGAGAACTAAGAGAATGGGATCTCAAGAGAACTCTAGATCAAGTGTACTTTATATATAGTTTAGTAAATTTACGGAAAAACCCCTAAACTTAGAGTCAATTATAAAAAGAACCCTCTGCCTATTCGGTCACTGCACGCGAACCGATGATAGTCGAGAGGGATTATTTACAATATTAAGGGTAAATTACAACCACCCCTAAGGTATGGTCAAATTACGAAAATTTCCTTCTTGTTTGGGTAATTACAACCACCCCCAACTATAAATCTTCTTACACGTCCATCCTTGCGGTTTCAAATTTAGTGGAATCTTCTAGATTATATGAAATATTCTCAATTTGGACCTGTTTTATCCCATTCGAGCTTCACATTTTGAAGCAAGATGATCATAAGATGTGTTTTTTTGACTTGTATATATTAGATTGTGGTGCATCAGAAACTGTATTTTTGCACAAAACGAGTACAAACTTGAGAAGATTCCACGGAATCTAGATGATTATGTTGAATTTGACACCATAAGGGTGGAGATGTAAGAAGATTCATAGTTGAAGGAGTAGATGTAATTATGAGATATAAGAAGAGTCATAGTTAAGGAGTTTTTTCGTAATTTGACCATGCCTTAGGTGGGTGGTTGTAATTTAACCTAGTATTAAATGCTGCGGCTATATGCAAGACTAATTTCACTTGTGCAAGACCAAATTAAATTTTTTTAATGTATAAATACTATAATACCCTTACTTGTTAAAAAAATAGAAAATTCCAAATGTGCAATACAAAAAACTCAAAAACAAAAAAAAACCCTATCACAAAACCACAAGACCAACTCTCATCTTCTCCATCAAAACCTTTCTACTTCCTTATCTACAAACCCACAAAACTAAACATTCAAAATCATCAAAACTCAACAAATCTTACAAAGATGGTAAGTATGGAGTCAGAAGACATCAAAATAGAAGAATCTACGGTGGAAAAACCCAAGAAAATATGCATTTATGTGTTTTTTTAGCTAGAATATCGTTTTTCCAAAAAAAATCCCGAGCAGACGCAGTCGACATGTAGATGTCGAATTTTATAGGCAAAAATCGACATTGGGATGTCGATTTTTTTAGTACAAAATCGACACCTTAGTGTCGAAACTTAACTGTTAGCAAAGTAGTCCAAATATACTAAATTTCGACATTAAGCTGTCGAATTTATGAACATATATTCGACACCTTAATGTCGAAATTTAGTTGTTTCATATTTAAAAAAAAAAAAAAAAAATCCCGCGCACACACAGTCGACATGAACATGTCGAATTTTATAGGTAAAAATCGACATTGAGATGTCGATTTTGGAGTAACATATCGACACCTTAGTGTCGAAATTTAACTATTAGCAAAGTAGTCCAAATATACTAAATTTTGACATTAAGCTGTCGAATTTATGGACATATATTCGACACCTTAATGTCGAAATTTAGTTGTTTCATATTTTTTTATTATTTGTTATTTGGTCTTGCATGAGCAAACAAAAACCATTTAATTTATGGGTATATTTTTCATTTCATATTAATAAAATGGAATCTTTTGAAATCTTTCTTTAATTTGGTCTTGCACAAGTGGAATTAGTATTGCATATAGCCGCAGCCAGTATTAAATTAGTAGAATCATAGTTAAAGAAATATTGTTGTAGATGATTGTGATTTGGGCTTTATGGGATACCCCAAATTGCTTAAACAATAGTTGGTCCATTGGGTTCAGCCCAGTGGATTATATCAAATATTATATATATATATATATATATATTTAAATAATATTTTATTTCCCTTTTTTATTCATAAAGAAAATATATGTAAAAATGGAAAATTCAATTGCATCTTTTAGAATTAATGACGTTATTCTTGTTCATTATTTTTTTAATTTAGAAGAATATGAGGTTTCTGTGGTCAACTATTATACGCCTTTATACTGAAAGTGACATTTCGTGTCATTTCACCATACGTTTATTTATTTTATTTTTCCTTTTTCAGTTTCAAATTTATTATATTTTGAATTTCTCCAATCACAGATAATTGAACTTAAATAAAAAATGTATTTTTATTAATTGTAAATTACACAAGACTCCCTTTCGATCTATTTTAATTCAAACCCTTTAAATTTGAAAAAAAAAACCACCACCATATTTCCTTGCACCAATCCAATTTACAGTAACCTTTTATAAATTAATACAGTCGGACTAGCAAAATTCTATTAATTTAGCGAAATATTAAATTATCAAACTAATAATTTAGTAGATTTTTACCTAATCTGGATCAGACAAAACTATTATTTAAGCGAGGTTACTAATTTATCAATGTTATATTGTAATTATAAATATTGCTGATTTTTTATTTTTAAATTGAGATTAAAATGTAAATTTATGGATGGTAAAAACATGCACACTTGAAATGTGCAAAACTTCAATTCGATGTAGTAGACAACAATTTCTAAAACCAAATCGATCCACCCCCAATAAAAATTAGAAATTAAAAAAGATTAATAAAAAAAATTAAAATTGGAGAAAAATAATAAAAAAAATGGAGAAAATAAATTATGACGTGGCAACCCAGAGAGCAGGTTTCCAGTTACTGCAAAATCCTTTATTATTTCCGTGCCCACTTTCTTTGCATCTACTCCGCCTCTGATATTTCTCCATTTCCATTTCAAATTCTTCTTTCTTCTTCGTCGATTCAGCTACTTCGTTTTTACTTACCACCGCCTCCTCTTCCACCGCCGCCGCCGCCGCCGTTTCTCCGCCGCAGCCGTTTCTTTTTTCTTCCTCTTGCTCTTCTTCTCCGGCGGCGGCGGAGGTGGTGGTGGTGGTGGTGGTTGTTGTTGTCTCCGCCACCCTGTGATCGGGGCCTGCAGTCAAGAAGCAAAGACGGAGTCTGCCGTCACTCCTCTCCGCCTGCAGATAAGAGTTCCTGAACGGCGCCTCCACCGCCTCAATGATCAGCCTCCCGCCGTCTGATCTGCGGCGGCGCACTTGCATCGAGCTCATCGTCGACAGCGGCGGTGGGAAATTCCTCGTTTCCCGGAAACTCGCTTTCTTCACAACAACCGCCGTCGTCGTCCGTCTGCAGCAATCATCATCTGACACGCCGCCGCTTTTGTCGGAAAAAATCGGACTAATGATTTCTGTCGTGCTTGACGGTGACAGGAAAATGCTGCTACCGTCGGTGATTATATCAGTCCCCGTTTCGCTCCCTAAATTCTCCGTGCACAGTTCCAGCGAAAACGACGACTTCTTCGACAAAGGGTGTGTGTAGCAGCAGCTCTCTTTATAATCATTAGGGGCTGTTTGGAGAAAACCCCAGTTGCAGAAATCAATATTCGCTGGCGGCGGTGGCGGCGGCGGCGCCGCCACTTTGAGTTTTAGGGTGGTGGTTGTTTCTGTGAGCTGGGCTTCGAAATTACAAGAAACAATCTTTTGGCAAGTAATAGTTGACATGGTTTTTTGAGGATTAATTTTTGTACGTGTATAGTTCTTTGCTTTGTCTTGAATTTCTAGAGAGAGAAAGTAAGAGAGAGAGAGAGAAGTGGAGAGAGGATTGAACGAGGGATAAGTGAGGAGATGGGTCTCAATTTGTATTGCCCAAAAGTGCTCTTCAGATCGTGTGTGTATCTGTGTGTGTATCTGTGTGTGTGTTTTAGTGTGTGTGGGAAAAGAGTTTGCTTTTTTGCACCACTTGAATTATACTAACTATTAATCTCCCACACACAAAAAACATTTGGCTTTTTCCTTTTTTTTTTCCTTTAATTTTCATAATAGGTTAAATTACCGCCAATTCTAAGGTAATATCAAATTACAAAAAAACCCATCATATTTAGACAATTACAATCAGACCTCAACTATAAATTTTCGTTCATGTCCACTCTTACTGTGTCAGATTCAACGGAATCTTCTTCTAGATTTCGGTGGAATTTTCTCTAGTTTGTACTCGTTTTGTGCAAAAGTGCAGTTTATGATGCACCACGATCTGATATTTACAAGCCAATAGACACGTCTTATGATCATCTTGTTTCAAATTCAACAGAATTTTCTAGATTTCGAGAAATGTTCTCTACTTTGTACTCGTTTTGTGCAAAAGTGCAATTTTTAAAGAGACATGTCTTATGATCATCTTGTTTCTAAATGTGCAGCTTGAATGTACGAACTAAAAGATTCCACTAAATTTAACACCGCAAAGTTGAACGTGTAAAAAGATTCATAGTTGATGAGGGTAATTGTAATTACCCAAACGAAAAGTTTTTTTTTCCGTAATTTAACCTTACATTAAGGGGTGGCCGTAATTGACCGTTACATAATATTGCATAACATTTTTTGATTTAGGGGAGAAATTAAATAGCTTTTAAATGAAATTTATTCACCACCAAATTGATGTCCTTACATATACCATATATGTGTGTGTATATATATATACATAAATACATGTATGTAGTACAAAGGGCGACAGATGGAATATAAATTGCAATCCAATGAAAATAACAGCTTTGACGTTTCATTATAGTTTTTTTTCTTCCATGTGGAAAAGAAAAGCCAATTAATAACCACATAAATAAGGTGAAAATAAAATTAATTTTCTTTTGATGTAGATAATAAGAGATTTATTTTTATTTTTCTTATAATTGTTTAATAAAAAGTATTTTAAATAGTGGTTTCATTTAAATAGTATGTGTATTGAAAGTCAAAATCCATATTGGATGGCAATATTTAAGGAAGCAGACCGACACCACACAAGCCCACAAGGTTTGAAAATTTTGTGTGGTGAAATTACCGAAATAGACATCATGTATACCAGCTCTCAATCCGCGTTGAATTGACCGAACTAGCCATACGTAACGCAGGTTGATAGTATAGTTTAATGGCATAGGTGAGGGTATTTATGTCAATTCACGAAAAACGGTTTTTAAACGGATAAGCTCTTACACCTGATAAGCTATTTTAAGAGCTAATTAGTTATTACGTCTTATTTTGAAATTATTTTTTGAAGTGTTTGGATGATGAACCTATAAATTATTTTTATGCATCTTAAAAGCTCTACAACTGTTTATTTTTAAAAATTTTAAGATCTTTTTTAAAAAGTTACTATCAATTATTCTTAAAGAGCTTATAAGCTCTCAAACATCTTATAAACTGTTTTTAACAATTTATAAACTTAGTCAAACAGTCTCTTAATGGATAGGGATGCATCCATGGGGTGTGAACGAATTGATAAAAATCGAATAACTTGTTTATTTAACATTATTTTGGTATGAATCTTACCAAAAGATCAAATGTGATGAAAGAAGTGTTATAATCAAGAATTAAGTTTTTTTTTTTTTTTTTTTAATCCAAATGTCCTAACTTAACCAAAATAATTTTGGGCCACACAATCTTCACTTAATTTGTCCAATTTATTTTTCTTCTTTTTTTGATTAATTTTGAATTTTAATATCATCCAAGAAAATTTATTTTTTTGTACGAATTCAAACTCATGAACTTCTAGGTCTGTTCATACTCCTCGTAATCATATACGTGCTTGTAAATTATACGAGAGATGTAAAATATTTATTAAAAAATTGTGAAAAAGTATTAACAGACGAATCGAATTTAGGTCATCAGACGGGGCACTTTTCGATATATTCGAGCAAGTAGGTAAAGGGTTTTAGATGATTCGTTATTTTGTTCCACCATTGTGACGTCAAATATGTGTTTTCGTACGGACAATCAACATAGAAAAGCAATTTTCCCATACAAGAATAGACCACAAGAAACCCTAATTTAATTTAATTAATTAATTAATTAACTAATTAATTAATGAAATCATCATCATCCACTAACACAAAAACCTTTTTCATTTGTCGGCTAAGTGTTAACCTATGAAAAACAAAACCACTTATTTTAATCTTTTATGAAATAAACTTTTCTATGATGCACCCACTTATATATGTAGTAGAATCCATGTGAGTAGACAACTATAAATTGTGTGACCTGACCCTAAAAAAAATTGGACCTCAAATTTGTACTGATTTTTTTTTCCTATATATATTACCTTTTTTATATAAATAATATCACGTAAATAACAATTAATTAATAAAATAAAATAAATGGTGAGGCGTCCCTACTTCATGCATATCATGAATCTAATTTTTTTTATTTTTGAGGGAAAAATAGAAAATAGGGAATTTTGAAATAAAGGAAAATGATTTGAAATTTGTGTATAGTCTGACGTGAATTATCCGTTGCGCAGATTTCCAATCAATTTATACAGCTCAACGACGACATATACAATTATCCAAATATCCAATATTGCAGAGTGACGTAATATATATAGTAATATTCTATTTATTAGTGCTTTGAAAAAAGCATAAATTTGGTTCCACTATGCAAGTTGAAGAAGGATCTTACGGGTAGGGGAGTAAACGAGTCCGAGCTTGGTTGCTTTTGGCGAGCTCGAGTTCGTATTCATTTTGACGAGCTTGAGCTCTTTGAGTATTGTTTTTCTGAACTCGAGCTTGAGGAGTCGAGCTTGTCGAGCTCGAGCATGAGCCATTGTGTATTTTATTTATTTATTTATTATTTTTTATTAATATTATTAGAAATTTATTATTAAAAATTATAATAAAAAAATTAAAATAAAAAAGTGAGCTGTAATTTATTCTTTTAATTATTTATATGACTTTATTATTTTATATTAGTTATTCAAAAAAAAAATATTAAAAAATAAACTTGCGAGCTCAAAATAAACTAAAAATGTGAGTGGTTTAATAAACTTGTCAGAAAGTTCGAGCTCAAAAAATCCGAGTTCGAGTCCGAACTTTTGTCGAGTCGGCTCACCGAGCTCACGAGCCAGCTCGGCTCATTTACACCCCTAAATACGAGGAGTTATATGTTACACCTAATTATTTATTTATATTAGGTCAATCGTAAATTTGATTAAATAACCAATTTTGGTAAATTTAATTGAGTTATATTCTACCATAAATGTGTGAATTTATATGCAAACTAATAATATGTAAATTTTTATCAAACTTATTTTTTTTCAATTAACATTTATGTAACTATGCAACAACATTCACTTAATTAAGAGTTAAGATAAAATACTAAAATTATACTTAACAATTGATGATTAGTTAACCCGGAGCAAATTTTTTAACCCAAAAAAAAGTTTAATGAGAGTGAAAGTGCTTTTTTTCTGAAAAAGCTTATGAAAAGCTAATTGTATGGTACAATTTTAATGAGAAAATTAATGTGGTCCTAATTACATTCCATTAATTAAGTTTAGAAATAAATAACAAGACTTAACCCTTGGCAACTCTAAACGAGCACGCTTTTAGTTCAATTTAATTAATTATGCAAAGTACAAAAAAGAAAGCTTCTGCCATTAGCACGACTAAGCATATATTAGGTCACCCCACTTAGAGCTAGAGGACAACTAATTAGCATCATATACCATCTGTCTTTTTGCTTAATTATATCTTAATTTTTTTTCTAATTAAACACTGCGTAAAGATCGATGACTACGTCATGCTTTTAATAATCATTTACGAACAACGAAAATAAATGAGAATTAAATATATATCAAAAAACCCGGGTTGAGTGTCGAGAACTAGGGCTGAAATTAAAGTCGGGATGAAACTGAACGAAATTAACATTTTTGAAAGAAAAAAAAAATCATTTTGTTTCTGAAATACAAAACTAGTTCCAATTCCAATCCTAAAATTTTCAAAATCGAGAAAGTCATTCCAATTCCAAAAGTCATGGGAACTTTGGAATTTCGGAAATTTCGAAAATCACTTAAGTTTAACTTTAAAAAAAATCGAAAACTTTTTTAATTTTAAAAAAATGAGGAATCCACTTTCATAAAATCATAAAACTAAAGCTAATATATGATAAATTTTAATATTTTCTAAAAATTACTATAACTATTCCAATTGCACACGGCACCTATTTTCTGATGCCACAACTCGAAATAATAAAGTCGAAACTAGGACTTTCTTTTACATGAGAAATAGCGAAAGGATGAAACTAGGATTTCTTTTACGCGATTAATAACAAATTAAAGACTTTAACTCTTCAACATGGTCCATAAGGTAAAAATATGATTAAATATTTAATTTATTTTACACTAAGTAACATAAATAAGATCTAATATATTATATATACATATACATATTCATATACTATTTATCGGTGTATTTTTTGGGGGGAAAAAGGAAATTTTCTGAAATTAATTTTGGAAATTGATTCGAATCGGAAATAGAAAATTCCAAATCTTTTTTTATATAATTCCAAAGTCCAATCCAAAATATTCGAAAATTTTGGAAAATCGAAACAAAAAAAATTATTCCAAAATCGAAACTTTACGAATCAAAACCGGCGGGAATCGAAAATTCCGTTCCAACAAGAGAGCATACATAGTATGTTAAGGAATGAGAATAAACATTCACCTCAACTTTGGCAGATATTCACATGATTCCTAATTAATTAATTATTATTATTTAATAGCCTGTGCCAAACTCTATTTGGATATATATGAACAATTTTTGCATCAGGATCCATTTTAATTTATTTAATTCATATAAATTAAACTTTTAAATTAAAGTAAGACGACTCCCGCAGAATATTTAAATCACAATGCGTCATCGTCTCTTTGTGTCCTTGATTGGGCTTAAAAAGTTGGCACTTTGGAGATTTTTTTATTTTTTTATTTTTTTAATTATATTTTATTTTTCCTAAAAAAAATAAATTAATATTTTATTTAGGGTGATTAACAAAGACAACAGAATCCAGTTCATGCATGGCTGAGCATATCTTTTTGACCACTATTCACATTTATTTATTTTATTTTATTTTAAATAGGAAAAGTCTACGGTGGGCTATATTATATGCATCACCGTCGAATATTTTTATTTATTTTTTAATATGAATTTATTATTAGTGTTTAATTATGACGTAATCCTCCCATGCTGTAGCAAAGTTTTGTAGTAAATGAGTGAACAGTGTATTTAATCATGGATTAATTCTTTTAATAATGAATTATATATGTGTACTTATTTAGGCTCGTCAAATATGTTTTTTAAATAAAAATATGAAAATTATTGTAATAAATCAGTCAATATTAATTTTTTTCTACAGTATATCGAATAATCGTTGCAACCACAAATTAGATTCTTAGGTTCGATCGATATATTTCAAAATTTTCTATCTCGATGATAAATTGTGAAAAGATTTAGGTGGTCTTTGCAAATGCTTTTAATTTCCAAAGTGGTTATAAACTTTTTTTTGTTCAAAATCAGTTTTTCTTAAAACATTAAAAAGCTTATAATCACTTTTGAAAAACGTTTGCAAACACTTGGTACTAATTCTCCAGCCCATGAAACTAATTAATTAATATTAGTTTTTTTTTTTTTTTGAGAAAATTAATTTATATTAGTTAATATTTGAGGTACTAGGTTTTAGCTTTCCAGAAAGACACAATTAGTGTACAGATCGAAACTCAATCAGGGAATATTAATCATGATTAATTCTCATCATTATTATTTAATAGTAGTATTAGTAAAATTAACCGAAAGCAAAGAGACAAACAGAATCTTGAAACATCAAAATGTACAACCTAATTTCCAAGAATAGCAACTCTCAATTTTACTATTGTTGCCAAATTTCTAAATCGAATTTATTAATTCATTTAATATATTTAGAAAAAAACACTTTATTAATTTATGTATAATTACAGGCTATTATTCAAATTAAGCTCAAGACTTAATTAGTTAAAACAGTAAATATAATATCATATTATAATATAATATTAATATATATAATAAAAAAAAAGTATTGTTTGTTCATATCCATATTCTAAAGTTAGTTAAATTGAAATTCTGTTTTGCAGATTGCAAATACCAATAAATTTTGTTTTCTTGATAAATGAATAGATATTTTAGTAATTTAATTTAATTTAATTTTTCTATCCTTCACCGGAAAACATTGAAAATTAATTTGTTGACATCAGAATTGTTCAGACAGTGTTCCTAGTGCAGATATTCTGTGTCCATTTTATACTAAGTCGTGTTTGGAAGCAAATTGCGGCTATGTGCTATATATAGCCTATATTTTTATATATAGCATATTACATATATCAGAGTTTTTTTTTTTTTTTTTTTTTTTCCAATTTTCTTTCGTTCGGGTTTTTGTAGAGACGGATCCACGATTTTCGTATTTGCAGTGTGGATCATATAGAAGTAAATTTTAGAGGGCATGATCATGCTACATTATCCGAAAAATAATAAAATTGAAAAATGAATAGTTGAATTTTGAAAAGGGGACATAACGAAAAAATTAATTAGTGGCATAAAATGGAAGTAGAAGCGAAAAAAATATGATATATAAATATGTAAGTGTGTGCGCATGCGCAATTAATATTTACATAACAGTCTACTTGACTTAAGAATTAACGTGGTTCAGTTCAGATTGCACTTACATCGACCAAACAATCTGAAACAACTTTATTAATCCAATAACAAAGAATAAATTTGAATATTAATGCTATTTTTTCTTGCAGTGAGGACTAAATTCTTTTAAAATAATTGAATTTATAAGGTTTATATATAGACATAAATAGAATATACTATATATTAATTCAAGAGAGATGGCCGGTGAAACATATGATGAAATGGTTATACTTGTGAAAATTGGGTTGCAAGGAAATGGGCTTTAATTATATGTAATACGGGCTACAATTATGATAATCGGGCTTTAGTTCTAAGGCCCATATATCATAAATGGGCTATAAAATAAATGATCACTAAAAAAAAAGGTTTATTAAAAATTTCAATTATTTTAACTAGGATAAATACTCGACGTTTGTAATTACTAAAATTCCAATGACGTTTGTTTATGTTTACATAAACTTTCCTATAGTGTGACTTTTCATAAAATCTTCTTGATTCGAGGCAATATTCGCAAAAAAAAATGTCTCGTCTACCTCCTACATCAATTTCTCGAAGATACCATTAATGAAGTTGTTCATAAGATTCATGGCCTTGCTCGAGATCCCGATGTAGACTTTACATATTTAAAACGTTTTCTTTTATTTTTCACGTATGTAACCGAATGGTATAATGGACTTTACACATTATCCAGTTGTTAGTTAGAGGGGGTTTTTAGTAATTATGGATAGATGGGGTGTTTTCGTTATTTTGGTAAGTTTAGGGGGTTTTCCGTAATTTTCCCTTTTATCTCCTGTACATTAAACGAATTAGCGAACAACAGCACACTGTGGCGAAGGACATAGCCGTAATTTCACACACATACCCAATTCCATCAACAGATAACCCTAACCCCTCAATCAAACAGCCAAAAAGTATAATACTGAAAAAAAGAAAATTAAATCCACAAAGCGAAAAACAAAATCTTTTAAATTTTAATTTCCTTTTTTCTCTATTTACGCAAATTTGGGGGTTTGGATCCGTAAAAGAAAAAAAAAAACTAAACCCGTTAAGAGAGAAAAAGCTCGCAATAATTTTCAAAAAAACCCCAGCACGACGCCGTATTCTGGCCCTCAATTCCCGCCATGGCTGCACAGGTGGCGGAGCCACAGCCTTCTGCTTCCCAGCAACTCGCCCTCACCTCGCCCGAACCCGACCCGAACTCCGAACCCCCGCTCCACAGCGCCAAAACCTTGATTTGTGCCCTCAATTTTCTCTCCCGCAATTTGCCTCTGCCCCAACACGTTTACGACGCCGTTTCCTCCATTTGCCAGGACGCCGATGTTCAATTTGAAGCCGAGGGTGACGTCAGCAATGGGGCGGCTTCACCGCCGCCGCGGACGGTTAGTGATTTTTGTTGTTCCTTTGTTTTTTTCTCTAATTTAGGACGATGCGTGAGACTTGAGGTTTTGGATTGTTATTTTTTTCCCTATTTTATTGTTTGATTTGTTGGCATTATTTCTATTAGTTTCCATTATAGTTTTTGTTCGGCTTTTCGATAATTTGGTTCGTTTAGGTTTGTTGATTGGAGTTACCGGGGTTGCGTTTTTAGTAGTTTTTATATCTCGTAAATCTTGATTACTTGATTGCAGTTTTAGGCTTCGAGTGATGGGATTTACTTTTACTTTGACGAGATATTGATGTTGATCCACTAATAATGGTGCAGGGTGAATTTGGTGTTTCGAGTTACGATGAGTTAATGTCGGACTTTGAGGATGCAGTGTCGAAGCAGAGATCGAGTTGTTTGCCTGGTTCTAGATTGACAGACTTAAAGGGGAATAGGCATCAGAGCCGACTTCAGCATCGATTGACCGAACTTGAGGGTAACTACAAAGTTAAATTATTCCGTATATGTAAATAGTTCAACTATATTGCATAACTCTGTAGTAAGAACTTAGGTTGCATTTGGATGGTTGGATTTAAGCAAAAGATTTCAAACCCATTATCCAATGAGCAATAGATTTCAAAGCTGTGTCTCTCAATTTAATCCATTTTTGAGTCGTTGTGGTGGATTTCACGTCCATCTCGTTTGTGGCGAACGAAAGCTGGAAGTCAGTTTTCAGTTAAATTAAGAATCTTTTAATTCCAAATCCAAATAGATCCTGTATTTTGCAAGGGTCCAAAGAACTTGTCAATAATTGCATAAAAATCGCCCGGTGTACAAATCCTCTTTTGTAACTTATTTATACAAAAAAACTAAACACGGGTTTGCAAAACCAACTCCAAGTAGATCCCCACAAGCCAAAAACACTGTCAACATGTGCGTGTAATGGGTCGATGACTGATTTTTCTTCGTTTATTTCTTAAAATTCTTCGCCTGTCACATGCAATATGTGCTTGCCATTGATGTTCTATGCTTATTTGGTTTTGTGAACAGGGTTGCCCACAAGCGGAGGCGAGGAGCTGCAGTCAAGATGCTTGCTCGAACTCTATGGACTTAAGGTATAGTTTATTTGCTTAGTAACAACGATATCATTTGACTCTAGGTTGAAAGAATCATGACACTTAGAAGGAAAAGGCTCTCTGGATCATGTGGGGTAAATTCGTCATGTTTTTATAACTCCTCTGAAAAATTATGTTCTGCTGGTAGTAGTGAGCTGCCTGAAAAGATACCGGTATATCATGTTCTCCTCATGTATTATCCAGTTATCCTGTATTTCCTACTGAATTTTCCTGAAACGGGATTTTGGATTTTTTTTTTTCATTTTTTGGGGTGGGGGTGTGGCGGGGTCCAAGTGTAGCCAAATTTGTGTCAAGTTTCCAATTTCACTGCTGTCATTTGAAGTTGTTCATTTTTTTCCCATCCATGAAAGCAAGAAGCTCTTATGCTGTTCTCTGTGCCTAAATTTAAGCATCAGATTATGATGGTTCCAGTTCTTAATTGACTATGAATTATTGTTACGATCAGTTAGCTGAGCTCCAGCGCAAAGTGCGCTGTGAAGTGGGTTCTGAATATTGGCTTCGTCTGCACTGTGCAAATCCGGAAAAACAGCTTTTTGATTGGGGCATGATGCGATTACGTCGCCCTTTATATGGTATTGGAGATGCTTTTGCCACGGATGCTGATGATCCGCTGAGGAAGAAACGAGATGCTGAGGTTAGAGTTGGTCTTTTTGAATTTTTAACAATTTTTAAGTTTCACGACTGGACTTCAAAGAATATATATAATGCGTCAAAAGTTTCTATTTCAATCGAGTCACACAAGTCATGATTTGATTTGCTGCAGAGGTTGTCGAGATTCGAGGAAGAAGAAAAGAACCGTATAGAAACTAGGAAAAAGAAATTCTTTAATGACTTACTTGATGCTGTACGTGAACTCCAAATGCAAGGACAAGCTTCCCAGAAACGACGAAAACAGAGAAATGATGGTGTTCAGGCATGGCTATTTTCTACAATTTACTTTTTTGTCTTTCTTTAGAGTAGTAGTATGGCATGAAACAAGCAAATGTTATATGTATGAAGGTATCTCAATTAATGCAGACAGTATTTAAAGCTAATATTATTTTGCCAATTAAACAATATAAGTTCTGAAAACAAGAATGGTGACCATAAATAAATAAATAAAATTTGTTGAAAATCACATTTTCGACAAATGGGAATTGCAAGAAATCTTGTATATTGTAGTCAAAACAATCTTGTGGTTTGAGCAGGCTTGGCATGGAAGGCTGAGGCAACGAGCTACACGAGCTGAAAAATTAAGGTTCCAAGCTCTTAAATCCGATGATCAAGAAGCATATATGAAAATGGTTGAGGAGAGCAAGAACGAAAGATTGACAATGCTCCTAGGAAAAACTAATGATCTCTTAGTTCGGCTGGGAGCTGCTGTACAACGTCAGAAAGATGCCGGGCATGACATCATCGAACCTGAGCATGTTCCGGAATCTGAGTTGCCTGAGTTAACTGATACACCAGCACAATCACTTCCAGAAGAAGACGAAAAGGTTAATGATGAATCTGAAGATAAAGCAAAGACGGGAGATTTACTAGAAGGACAACGGAAGTATAATTCTGCTGTACATTCTATCCAGGAGAAGGTATTATTATATGATCTAATTCTGACAAGTTTTTCCGTAACTAGAGATTTTGTGTCGATTTTAGAGAAATGATTCTCTCCTCTCTTTTTATGTTGTTTTTTCTTCACTCATCCTTCTTGGTATACATGTGTTATATGATTCCCTTCATAATAAACTCGAAAAAATTGGGGAAGTTAACAACTGTCTTCTTTTCTTACTAATCCTAAAAGGATTGTTGGACAATATTTTTTTTCCATATTTTCGCTTCTGCTATGATATGATTTTTTAAAGAATTTGTAATTTCTAGTTACTAGCTCTTCTGTTATTTATAAATGCTGATCTAAGCTGACAAGACCTGTTTGTAGGTGAGCGAGCAACCGAGCATGCTTCAGGGTGGAGAATTAAGACAATACCAAATAGAGGGGCTTCAATGGATGCTGTCACTATTCAATAACAACCTAAACGGAATTTTAGCTGATGAAATGGGGTTGGGGAAAACTATTCAGACCATCGCTTTGATTGCTTATCTCATAGAAAACAAGGGTGTGACTGGGCCCCACTTGATTGTCGCCCCAAAAGCAGTCCTGCCAAATTGGGTTAACGAATTTATGACTTGGGCTCCTAGGTAATTTATTCAATGAGATCTTTCCTAAGCTATTAGTTGTTTGTGAATTAATGTTTCAGCACTAATGAACTTTCTCGACTGTTCAGCATCTCTGCTGTTCTTTATGATGGGCGCCTAGATGAAAGGAAGGCCATGAAAGAAGAGTACTCTGGCGAAGGAAAGTTCAATGTTTTAATTACCCATTATGATCTTATTATTAGAGACAAAGCATTCCTGAGGAAAATTAACTGGAACTACCTAATCGTCGATGAAGGGCATCGACTAAAAAATTTCGACTGCGTTCTTGCACGGACTCTCGTTTCAGGGTATTCTAGTCATTTTTTTTGGCATCTATTTAAAGCTGTCACTTATGGATTTTCTCGTATTAGTTCTCATTCTAAGTGCCTATTTTGTGTTTCTAATTAGAATATGTTTTGAACTTTTGACAGTTATCGCATTAGGCGGAGGCTTCTTTTGACTGGTACACCTATCCAGAATAGCTTACAGGAGCTATGGTCCCTACTGAATTTTCTCCTTCCCAACATATTCAATTCGGTTGCAAACTTTGAGGAGTGGTTTAATGCTCCCTTTGCCGACAAATGCGATGTCTCTTTAACAGATGAAGAACAGCTGCTAGTCATTCGCCGCTTGCACCATGTATATATCTTTGCTTTCTTTGTGTGTGTACACTTCTCCAAACCTTCTAATTCATAAGTTTGTTAATCTCCAATTTGGCAATATTTGCAATATTTTCTCAGGTCATCAGACCGTTTATATTAAGGAGGAAGAAGGACGAGGTTGAGAAGTTCCTACCTGGGAAAACACAGGTCATACTTAAATGCGACATGTCTGCATGGCAGAAAGTTTATTACCGCCAAGTGACCGAAATGGGGAGGGTTGGTTTGGCTCACGGTGAGAATTTCTCAGAAAATTTCATATTGAGAAAATACAGAATTTTCCTTATTGGGATAAGTTTTTTCATATAATATGATCTTGCAGGTAGTGGCAAATCCAAAAGCCTCCAGAACCTGACAATGCAGCTCCGTAAATGCTGTAACCACCCATACCTATTTCTAACTGACTATTTTACGCAGCGAAACGAGGATATAGTGAGGTCATCGGGAAAATTTGAACTTCTTGATCGGTTACTCCCCAAACTTCACAGAGCTGGACATAGAATTCTTCTCTTCTCCCAAATGACCAAACTTATGACGATTCTTGGAGATTATCTTTCATTAAAAGGCTATCAGTTTCTTAGACTCGATGGCACTACCAGCACTGGTGACAGAGGGGAATTGCTTAAGCAATTTAATGCTCCAGATTCGCCTTACTTCATATTTCTTCTAAGCACTCGCGCAGGAGGACTTGGTCTGAATCTGCAAACTGCAGACACTGTGATAATTTTCGACAGTGATTGGAACCCTCAGATGGACCAGCAGGCGGAGGATCGGGCCCACCGAATTGGGCAGAAGAAGGAGGTCAGAGTTTTTGTGCTCGTCAGTGTTGGATCTATCGAAGAGGTTATCCTGGAAAGAGCTAAGCAGAAAATGGGTATTGATGCCAAGGTCATCCAGGCTGGATTGTTCAATACTACTTCCACAGGTTTGTCGTTTACAGTAAAAAAAATTACTTCTCCTGTTTTTAAGAAATGCAAAACTTCGACAAATTAAATTATTTCATTATATTTAATTATCTATAAGTTAAGTTCAGATTTTTTCTCAAAAGATAACAAGGATTCTTGAATATAAAATGTAAGAACCGAACCAAAAATCTACCAATTAAGTAGAGTTTTTTTTATATATATTTAAGATTTCCTTACAGATTTGGTTCGAAACGAGTAAATATTGAACTCGAATAGTAAGATAAGGTTTGAATTGTTTAACAGCAGTAATTTAGATGACTACATAAAGTAGGTTTGCTGTTTGTCTAGTTTGACTGCAATCAAGTGCGGCTTATTAATTACATTGAGTTTATTGCATTCAGCACCCCTTGTTATATCGAATCGCTAAAAAACTCCCTGCGTTATAAAATAGTAACAACCCCCCACCCCACCCCTTTTTTAGTACACAAACCCCCAATTTGCTAATACTAATACTAACAACATGGGGAGTTCTTTAACAATTAGAGTAAACACAGTAAACCCTAATTACATTATACTTCTGTCATCGAATTTCAACACTAATCATTTTACATTACATACACAGCTCAAGACAGAAAGGAAATGCTGGTTGAAATCATGCGTAGAGGAACAAGTGCACTCGGAACAGATGTACCGAGCGAGAGACAAATCAACCGTTTGGCAGCTCGATCGGACGAGGAGTTTTGGATGTTCGAGAAAATGGACGAAGAGAGGAGATTGAGGGAGAATTACAGATCCCGTTTAATGGAAGAACACGAAGTACCAGAATGGGTTTACGCTGTGTCCGATATAAATGCAGGCAAGAACAAAGGCTCTCTAGACTTTGACACACCTGTCACGGGTAAGAGGCTTAGAAAGGAGGTTGTTAGGGACGACGCGATTAGTGATTCGCAGTGGAGGAAGGCTGTAGGGAGTGGAGACGAGGTTTTTTCGAACAGGGGTACAGGTGGCAAGAAGAGGAGAGAGAGTCAGAGTTTGCAGGTGTTGGATAACGAAACACCCAAGAAGAGTAATATTAATGTTGTTATCGGTAATAATAATAATAATAATAATATTAGTAATAGTGTTGTTGAGGAGAAGAAAGTGGCGGATTTGAAGAGTGAAACGGTGTCGGAAGGGAGTGAAGACGAAGTGTACGGTCAGAGCTCTCAACGGAGGGAAGGCGAGAGTTCGAGAAAAGGTGGGGTGGGATTGGGTAGTGGATTCAGTGGTTTGACATGGAAAACACATAAGAGGAAGAGGTCTAGTTTGACCTGATTATTATTATTATTGCATTATGGGAAACAAGAAGAAGAAGAAGAAGAAAAAGATTGTACTTTTATTTTTATTTTTTTCTATTTTTATTTATTTTGTGAAGGAATTAGAACTTTGGAAGAAGTATAGCTGTATTAGATACACTTGGTAAATGGAAGTTGTTGGCTTTATTTTTGTTTAGATTTGATATAAAAATGATTCAAACTGTCCGGAACCATCGAAAATGTCCGGGATATCCGACATTTGACCCTTTTTTTTACCGTGAAACGGAGGGCTCGATACCTGGTTATGTCTAGCAATACCCTATTTCATAATACATATTTTGCAGTTGTATTTCTGTTAAAAAAAAAAAGATTAAAAATAATATTTGGACATTTCGAAGATTTTTAGCAAAAACTGTGTACTATAGTATACAATTTCTTTGATTTTTCTTGATTGTTCAAAAATTAATAAATCAAATTCTAGATGAACTATTACTTCACTACTTATAAATAAACATCTTCTACACTGTATTTGGGTGCTAAAAAATATTTATATAAAAAAAAAATATTTGGATATTTCGATGATTTTTAGAAACATTTTTTTAGTCAATTGAAATTCAACATCATCAATTTGCAAGGGCAATTAAACACTACTGAAAAAACACATAAAGGATAAATAATACTACCATGGTCCCAAAAACAGGGTACCAAAACTCACCAAGTCCACATTGCCAGTTCAAAACATAGAATTCTCAGAAAGTAGCTTCATCTCTCATAAATGGTGCTAAAATAAAAGCTTAAGCGGATTAAGGGTAAAAATGTCCCATCAAACTAAAACTACCGATTCGCTACTCCGACTAAAGATCTTTTAGTCTTCTTCTTCTTCTTCATCTCCATTGACATCGAGTTTCTTGAGTTTGGCTTCCAATTCATCGTGCTCGCTACCTTCATCATCGTCATCTTCATCCTCACCGTCCACGTCATTCTCATCCAACGGCCCGAGTTTATGGAGGCATCCCTCGAAAACTCCCTTCAACTCTTTAATACCATCATCAGAAATAAAGTTCCCGTTCACATTCAGAAATTCGAACCCACTCAAACGAATCAATGCCTTTGCCAAAAACTTAGCCGAATCCCTCAAAGAATTCTGGCTCATATCGACTTCCTTCAATTTGTTATGCCCTTCTCCCAATACTTTGCTTATCTGAAGTGCGCCGACATCCTTCAAATCATTCTCCGACAAGTTCAACTTCACAAGAGACTTCTTTGTAGCTATGCATTCAGCCAAAACAGGGGCAGCTTCCGCAGTTATATCATTCCCAGCCATTTCCAAAACCTCGAGCGAAGGCGCCGTATCTTTGAGCGCATTAGCTATTGCAATTGCACCATCGTCTTCGAGGTTGAGGTAACTCAAATAAATCTCGGTTATGTACGCGTGTTTGTATAGAGCCTCGCTCAGCTTCAGACCGGCTTCTACGCCAAACATGTTGTCTCGAAGATCGAGTTTTTTCAGGTTCTTGCATTGCGCGAGTGCCTCAGTCAATGCAACCCCACCTTCAGAACCAACCCGGGTGGACGAGCATCGGAAGTCCTCTAGCAAAGGGCAACGGTTAAGAATCTCGGAAATTGCAATAGCACCTTCATCGCCTGTCATATTGTTGTGGAAGTGAAGAACTCTGAGTTTATCAGTGAAAGTGACGAGTTCACAAACAGCTTGAGCAGCTTCCTTCGATATACCATCGTTCATCAGATACAGTTCCTCCAAACTGTTTTGAGATTTCAATAGCTTCCCAAAAGCTCGAACTCCCTTCTCGCCCAAGGCATTGTCGGATAAGTTCAGACAAGTCAATTTAGAACCTTCTAGAGCTTCGGAGAATATGTTCATTACATCAAGAGCTTCAGCCTCAGGCCGACCCGCAACAAAATCCGATAAATCCACTTCCTTCAGCTGGTTCTTGATCGAAGCTAAAATGGGTCCCGCCACATGAGCTGCACCAAGACCAAAGCTCCGATTGCTAAAACAAATCTTAGTGTAAGAATTTCCGAGCTCTTTTAAGGGACTCAAAAGCGTTCGTGCTTCGTCTTCTTCGATAAATGCACGCTGTCCCTTTGAGATATCGAAAAGGGCCTCGGCAACTTCGAGCGTCTCTTTTTCCTCTGTTTTTATGCCACCTCCTTTGAGAACCTCCAATATTAGCTTACTGCATTCTCTGGCATACAATTGCACAGCAGAACTGCCATCACCATCGGGCTCTTGTTCGTAGTGTTGATTTGCAGTAGCGAATGCTGCTTCCTCGATTTGTCCGGCATGTTTTGAGCCCTCAGAGTTAGTGAGACTGCCGTACTTGCGGGTGAAGATTGTTGGTGTTGAGAGATTGTTTGTCATTCGCTCGACTAGCATCTGCCTTGTGTTCTGGCTAGGAGGCCACAGCTTGATGGTGATGTGGCGGCGTTCTCCGTTTGGTGTTTTCGTGTCCATCTCGAACGAACCTACGATCGAGAAATGTAAAATGTGAAGTCCTTGTGACATGTTAATTGCACGGCTAGTACACAAGACAAACCAATAAGCCTAATGTAGGATCAAAAGCAGCATAAAAAAGAAATTCAAGTGATTTAGAGATACATTGTCTGAAACATAACGAATGCAGCAAATATATATATTTTTACGTAAGATCCTTATTCATAATGAACCATCATAGTGAACCAGGCTAAACAGAGTCATAGAAAGAAGAAAAGGCGAAGTGTTTAACATCCGAGGATGATTTATTCATAGTTATTACAATCATCCTACAGTTAATAACTTGAGATTGAACTCTTTAACTCCTTCCATTCGTACATTTTTAATCAGTTAAAATATCTTGAAGTTTTTACTTTTTTGCCATTTGACATGTTATTTTGAGTTGTAATATTTTTTAGTAGGGTCCGGGAAAACACAATAGGCATTGATAATACTTTATAGATATGAAATACAAAGTATGCATATGCCCAAACGACGTGCTCTTTTTCTTCAAGCAAAAGGGGCAACCGTGTTAAAATATCTAGGGGGCCTAAAATTGAAGGGCATACGACAAATTAAAACAACCCATTGAGTAAAATAAACAGCAAATTTCAATTCAGACTAGCATTTAATAATCCATTCATATATTCTACTTCTTTCATCATATTACTTGCCCAGATTTCCCAAAAAAATCCAATAGGAAAAACTGTAAGGAAATCAAACAATCGTTCATTTCACTTTTCAATTAAACTTCGCCTCACTAAATCTAGATCTAAACGAAGTATAAGCATCAAAATACAAGAGACCCACGGGAAAAATCGAATCTTTACGGGAAACAGCCAAAACAAAATCCACATTTTCATTAAATTACTGGCGAATAAAACCTCAACAGCTCGAAAGGAGTACAATATACGAAAACCCACAGATAAAATTGGAAGTGCGTCGCTGCGTATGTGGGTTTTACTTACAGAAAGTGTGAAGCAGTGAAAAACAGAAACCCTAAAAACCCTAGCATGAAAAAGGGCATCTAATAAAGTTCGCGAGTAAAAAATTAAAAAATAAAAAAAATTAGAGAGAAAAAGGAAAATGCGAGTACCTCTTTCTCGCGGTTCTCTGCGTTTTCCGGCACCGAGTTGCGGCTTGATTGTGTGTGTGTTTGGGAGAAATGAGAAAAAGCCGAAACTGAAATGAAATGTTTGGGGGGAAAGTGGAAGATAATGAAATTTTCTGATACATTTTTCAAAATTTCACAAATTTCATTTTTTTCAGATGGGAGGACCAATGGAAGCACGACACGTGGCCACGTCCTGCTTTATTATCACGCTAAAATGCGCTTTTAGGGAAAACAATTCTTGCATGTTCTAAAGGCCTAGGATAACCTAATCTTATTAATAAAAGTAAGGTTGCTCCTGTTCAATCCTATGGAATTTTTTCTGCTAATTTGATAGTTATAAATTATAATTGTCATTTACTTATATTAATTAATTTTATTAGTTTATTATATTTATTTTAATCAAGTTTAATAAATCTGTTAAGTATCTAAACTTTTATGGCCCAAAATCTATGTATCTTTTCTCACTAAAATTGTCATTTTACTTAATATTAATTTGATGAAAAAATTATTTAATTGTTCAGATAAACATTTGGTTTTTATCTTATTAATAAAAGTGATATTTTCCTACTAAAATTGTCATTTTTTTTAATATTAATTTGATGGGAAAATGATTTAATTGTTTAGAAAAATATTTGGATCTTATCTTATTAATAAAGGTAAAGTTGCTCTCTTATTAATATAGGTAAGGTTGCTCTTGCTAAATCCTATGAAATTTTTCCTCATCATTTGATAGTTATAAATTATAATTTTCATTTATTTAATTAATTAATTTTATTGTTTTACTATATTTAATATAATCAAGTTTAATAAATCCGTTAAATATCCAGACTTTTTCGCCCCAAATTTACGTATCTTTTTCCACCAAAATTGTCATTTTTACTTAATATTAATTTGATGAAAAAATTATTTAATCGTTTAGAAAAATATTTGGTTCTTACCTTAATAAAAGTAAAGACGCTCATGATAAACTCTTGAGATTTAATGGCATCATTGATTTACAGTAAATTTACTGAGGCCCGTTATGGGTGATAAAGAAGAAGATCCGTCAAACTTCAACATTAACTGAGATAAGATAAATATACAACCATATTACATCAAAAATATAAAGTTAAATTGATAAATATGGGAAAAAAAAAGGTTTATGGATAGGGGATTATCATCAATATATATAGCAAAATATCAAAATGAATTGAAATTTCAATTTTGTCGTTTAAATTGAACTTCACTTTGTATTAATTTTAGTTCAATCCCGTGCATCGCACGGGCCAAAAATCTAGTTTTTTTAGTGTGTGAGTTTGGTGTAGTGTGTATTTTTTTTAGTGTGTGTTTACGGTGTAGTGTATTCTTTTTATTTCTGTTTTCGGTGTAGTGTGTGTTTTTTTTATTGTGTGTTTTTTGTGTATTGTGTTTATTATGAATTGTGTTTTCGGTGGAGTGTATTTTTTTCACTGTGTGTTTATGATGTACTGCGATTTTTTTAGTATGTGTTTTCGGAGTAGTGTGTGTTTTTTTAGTGTGTCTTTTCGGTGTAGTGTTTTTTTTTAATGTGTGTTTATAGTGTACTTTGTTTTTCTTAGTGCGTGTTTTTTTAGTGTATGTTTTCGGTGTAGTGTGTATTTATTGTGTGTTTTCGGTGTAGTGTGTATTTTTTCAGTGTATTTTTTCGGTGTAGTGTGGTTTTTGAGTGCGTGTTTTAGGAGTAGTATGTTTTTTGTGTAGTGCATTTTTCTTTTAAGTGTGTATTAAAGGTGTAGTGCGTGTTTTTTTTAGTTTGTGTTTTCGGGCAGTGTGTTTTTCTGATAATGAATAAAATAAATAAATAAATAAAATTAATAATAAATCCAAAATTATATTACGAATTATCAAATAAAAAAGGATGGGATTCAAGTATTTGGGCTTCTTATTTGGGCTTCAAGTACTTGGTTCACACTGTAAGTTGTAGGTGATTGTATACATATTATTAGAACTAATTGCATAAAACCCGTGTGTAATCTCGAATGCCGAAAAAGCCTTCGTGTTAAAAATATTAGCAAAAACCTCATGTGTGATTTTCTATATAGCACACTGCCCCTTATTTCCTTTTTTGTTGTTAACTTAAGGGACATGACAAAATTACCTTGAATAAAAAATTAAACAAAATAAAAATATCCAAAATTACCCCATATTTGTAAAAGAATTGTTTTTAGTAAATAAAATAAATATGTACCATGAATAAATAACTTTACCTGTAAAATCATAAACAAAAAGCTGGAATAGCTCAGTTGGTTAGAGCGTGTGGCTGTTAACCACAAGGTCGGAGGTTCGACCCCTTCTTCTAGCGATTTCTATTTATTTTCCAATTTTTTTGCTTCTTTGATTTTTATTCTATTTATTTTCCAATTTTTGCTTTTATTTTATAATTTTTGCTTCTTTGATTTTTATTCTATTTATTTTCCAATTTTTTTGCTTCTTTGATTTTTATTCTATTTATTTTCCAATTTTTGCTTTTATTTTATAATTTTTGCTTCTTTGATTTTTATTCTATTTTATAATTTTTGCTTCTTTGATTTTTATTCATTATTTCTATTCATTTTCCAATTTTTGCTTTTATTTTATAATTTTTGCTTCTTTTGGTTGTATTAGGCCCCAACAAAATTAAGTGGGGTTACATATCATCTGGATCATGTCTCACAATTATCTCTTCTTGGAAATTAATTAATTAATTAGCTAAAACAAATAATAATTATTAACTTTTAACACAAAAAACATTGAATCATCATCTAATATACCAATTCATCAAGATTAATTTAATTGCGAATTAAAATCACTTCATACGTAAGAAGACGCCACAAACACGAAATCGAAACAAGTAAACGAATCGAAGAAGAAAAAAACAACATTTCCACAATAATTATAATTAATTAATTATAATTAATTAATTAATATTAATCTACCTTCCCTTAAGCACTGGCCTTACTCTTCCACTAATTGATCTTTTTTTCTCTTGCCCTAATTTCTTGATAACTCTCTTCACACACTTCTCCTTATTATTTACAACATGATCACCTGGTGAAGTTCTAGAAGATTCCGACAAATTAGTGGGCCCATGTTGTTTTTTCAACCTGGTCAACAACTCTTTCCACAAGACAGTGCATTTCGGGGGTCTAGGGGAAGGATCATCGTCGACGAACCAGCTGATTCTGCCCCGTTCGGGAATATTCTCCGGTATCAAATTGATTCTGTTGAGCTTCGAGGGAAGTAACTTGCCTTCGCAGAACAATTCGTCGGCCGTACTCATCGATATGTTTGTTGAGTTATCGTTTCTTGATGAGAGAAACTCGAATTCGGAGTTGAAGGGATGTATTGACTTGTGTTGATTAGGGCATATTGTGATGAAGTTGCTCTCGTCGAGAAAATCGGAGGAGAACGATATTCGGGGGCTCGTGATTGGATCGGGGGCTTTCGATTTCTCGAGGGGAGAACATTTTCTTTTAATGGGGGAGCAGGATAATAATTGAGGAGTTTATTTGTACGTTGGAGTATAGTTGAGATTAATTATCATGTTAATGAGAACAATTGTGCATGTATATATATATATATATATATATATATATATATATATATATATATATATATATATATATATATATATATATATATATACATACATATATGCATACATATATAAAAGTACCTCCCACACACACACACCCACACACACACATACACACACATACACACACAGAGAGAGAGTG